GGGTTATCATCTCTAAGTCACTCTGAAAGATGTTGGCACAGGTCTAGTAATAAAAGGGCCCAGGGAAGATTCTCAAGGCCCAAGTTTTAGGGCCATGTGTGTACTGGAATGTTCTCTTGGTATCTCTTTATAATACATCTGAATTTCTAGCTAGATAGATTGGAAGAAGAGGAGGTGTTCCAAAATCAAAGAGCTGATTTCTTTCTGTACAGGAAGATACTAAGATTGAAGCTTAAAGGTAATTTGATGTCTACACTGAAATGAATGTCAGGGACATGTTGTATTATAGGAGGTTTTCCCTTGTTTTGTAATTTAGTGCCTTCTTTCTGTTTTGTTTCAAACGGTGTTAGTTAGCTACAAGTGTAGTAGCTTAAAACAGCAGATGTTTATTGTTGTTTCTGTAGGTCAGGAATCCTGGTGCAGCCTAGCTGAGTGCTTCTGATTCAGGGACTCTCATCAGGCTACATCATGGCGCTAGCTCAGAGCACAGTCATTTTTAAGGGTTGACTAGGAAGATCTGCTTCTGAGCTCACCCACATGGCGTCGGCAGGCCTCATGTCCTCATTGGTTGTTGGCCAGAGAAATCAGCTCCTTGCCACCTGCGCCTGACCATGGAGAGTTCACAACATAGTAGCTGAGAGAACGAGAGAGAGTACTCACGATGGAAGCCACGGTCTTTGTAACCTTATCTTGGAATGACTTCTCACCTGCAGCATTCTCTTCGCTGGAATACAGTCCCTAAATCCAGCCCATACTCAAAATGAGGGGATTATATTACATAAGGGCATGACTGCCAGGAGACAGGGATCATCGGGGGTTCTCCTACAGCCTGCCTACCACAAACATCAGATAGCCTCAAAATAGTATGTTTGCTTCAGGATAAGGAGTTATTCATCTTTTCTTGTAGACCAAAAAAGGCCCCTTGCCTGAATTAATTAATTATTTTTAAAGGTTTATTTATTCATGAGAGATCGAGAGAGACAGAGAGAGAGAGAGAGGCAGAGACCCAGGCAGAGGGAGAAGCAGGCTCCATGCAGGGAGCCGGATGTGGGACTTGATTCCGGGTCTCCAGGATCACACCATGAGCTGAAGGCAGGTGCTAAACCGCTGAGCAACCCAGGTGTACCCCCTTGCCTGAATTTAAAATCTAAAAAAAAAAAAAAAAAAAAATCCCTGACTATTTTCTATCCTGAGTCTTGGTACCTCAAATCCATCCTCTTTATTACTACTGGAGTAAGCTATTTGTTTCCAAATTTATTTGCAGTTTTGTCCCCCTCCCACCCCCGCCACCGCACACCATATTCTTTCTTACCTTTGCTTGATGCTTCTGCCTTGGGCTGCCCCTCCTTTTTTTATTGGCTAAACTCCTCATGGTTCAAGTCCAAAATCAGACATAGGACTCCCCTTTAACTAAAAGTAGTGTTCCTAAGGCAAAAAGGCCTAAACCAAAGAAGCAGTTACCATTTATTTGTATGAAAAAAATTTCAAGCATTCCTAGACCTAAAAAAATAATCTCTCTCAGGCTTTTCTGATATCTTAGGACACATCTTGCTCACAGATGCACAAAATAAATCAAGATAGAGCACAGGTGCTCATTGACGCCGTTCAGAGCAATGGCAGATCCACTCGCTGCCACTTGCTGCTCAGGAAGCAAAGTTGCATTACACTAACTTTCTTCCGGAAGTGTGCAATACCTGCATCACCTTTTCTAGGAAGCCCTCACTGGACTCACAAGAGCGAGTATGTATTTGCTTTCTGTGTATTCACGCAGCCTCTGCCCAGGCCCTTCACTCTGCATCTACGTGTTGAGCTCCTCGTCTAGAGGCTCTAGGCAGTGAGGGCGGGAATGTCTCTCCCAGTTATGTCCTTAAGGACTAGTGCTGTACCCAGAAAGTAGCAGAAGCTCATAAATATTTATGAATTGAAAAGCCATTATAGCTGGCAGCAGTAGAAAGAAATGCAGGATGAATCTTTCTCTCCTGCCCCTTCTCCCTGCCCTCAGAAGTGTTAACCAGCTGCTCCACATTGAGAAGTATCCCTAAAGGGCTCATCAACATAAAGCATCTAACCTCCAATGGGGGGGGAGTAGAGACGGGAAAGGGGCCCCTCTGGGACTCTACTGGTATTCTTATTCCAACCCTAGATTTCCCTATGTGGGTGTGAATAAGTGGGTCTTCATGCTTTTATATGGGGAGACATAAAGCCCACTCAAGCTGGGACTTTTTTTTAATGTTATTTATTTATTCATGAGAGAGAGGCAGGCTTCCCGTGGGGAGGCCAATGTGGGACTGGATCCTGGAACCCCGGGATCATGCCTTGAGCCAAAGGCACATGCTCAACCGCTGAACCACCCAGGTGCTCCTCAAGTTGGGACTTCTTAAAGTCAACTTTGTTGAGGGAAGTTTAACGTACAAGAAAATGTACCCGTTTTAAGAATAGAATTGAATGAGTCTTAGAGCTTTTTTTTAAGACTACATTTACAAATGTAATTTTCTTTTAAAAACATTATTATGAATGATAGTCTAAAATAGCTTTTGTGGACTAGTCATAAAAGCTTAACCTCGGCTTATTATGAGGCCTGTAGCAGCAGGCCTTTGAAAAATGAGCTTTAGAGTATTACGTATTTAAGGACTTTTTATAACAAATTCCAAAGTCTCTGTATGAACATTGAACTGTTACTTATTACAATCTTGACTAGTCACTTAGAAATGATCATTAACAATTTTCTGTGTTGTCTACCAGTAGAAATTAGCACACAAACAGTTAAGGTTGCTAGCTAACAAGGAAGTTTTTAACATCACAAAAAAACTTTATACACAAAGGAAATTGCAAGGTGTGTTGGTTCCAAAATTCAGAAATACTGACTTACTCCAACAACTCTTTGTACCTTCCGGGGTGGAGATAAACAATGTACAGTCCTCAAACCTGTGTTTCCCATCATGGTTTTCTCTTTGCCACACCCTCTTCTCACATTAGCCAGAGCAGCTACAGGTGAAAGAACCGGCCAAGGTGTCCCCTCCCCAGATACTCTTAGACTTTAGCTAGCTCCTCTTCATAACTCAACAAATAGTTTGCGGATGCCCACTGTCAACTTACAACTGTCCTTGGTACTGAGAATACAGCAGTGAACAGGATAAAGTTTCTGTCCTCAAAGAGTTGACATTCTTCTCCTTTTAAAAAATTAAGAATTTCAATAGAATACCTGCCAATACTGCTTTCTAGTTGAATGTTATTCTTATAATCCTTATTCTTAATCATGAACGAATGGCTTTAGCTACGGCCTATATTTTGATAGGTCTCACATATTTATGTGTATCCCCTACTCTTGTCCAGAGTTGCATTTTCAGATACCCCTTGAGTATTTTTACAGGATATTAGTATATTGAATGACTATCTCATTTTCCACACTGATTAATACCTGCATTATCCACCCATTTATCCAAGTTCAGTGCCTCCAAGTTGGGCTAGGCTCCCAGCATCTCTTGACTCATACCTGGTCAGTTAGCAAACCAATTGACTCTGCTCTCTAAATATAGGGTATCCCCAGTTCCCTGTTCTCACTTCTTTACTTTGTGCCCTCATGACTGTTCAGCTATTGAAAGTACCCACGTCCTGATTTCACACCTGTGATCTCTCCATCCTGTCTTTTACACTCTTTTAAGGATGTAATTCTGTGGTTGTCTGGCTGTTTCAGTCAGAAGAGCATGCAACTCTTGATTTAATAATCTAGTAATCTAGTAAAATTTAATAAGTTTAAAAAATGAATTTAAAAAGGTATAAGTCAGGTTGTGCCATCCTCCTGCAGAAAGCAACACCCACAGCTTGAAAGCAACATCTTTAAAATGACTCATGTGTTAATAATATAACACAACCTTTATCTCCCACCATACACCTTGTGTTCTGTCCAATTAAGCACTTCGTGCTGGCCATACTTCTACCTTTACGCAGACTGTTCCATTTGTCTCCTACCTTAGGAAAATTCAAGGCCTACCCTGAATATTACATATTTAATCCAGCCTGTATTTATTTACTTTAAAATGTATTTATTTGACAGAGAGCACAGACAGAGGGAGAGGGAGAAGCAGGTTCCTGCTGAGCAGGAAGCCCGATGGGGGGCTCCATCCCAGGACCCTGGGATCATGACCCGAGCTGAAGGCAGACAGACGCTTAGCTGACTGAGCCCCCAGGCGCTCCTTTATGCAGCCTTTAATAGTGTCTTCCTGTTTTCCTCCAATATTTTATTATTTTTTCCCCTCAGTATTTTATACATTTTTCTATTATGCTTATCATGTCCCACTGCAATTATTTATTTTATTCATGTCTTTCTCTAAAAGAAGTTTTATTTATTTATTTTTTTTTTAAAGGATTTTCTTTTTTTTTTTTTTTAATTTATTTATTTATGATAGAGAGAGAGAGAGAGGCAGAGACACAGGCAGAGGGAGAAGCAGGCTCCATGCACCGGGAGCCCGATATGGGATTCGATCCCGGGTCTCCAGGATCACGCCCTGAGCCAAAGGCAGGCGCCAAACCGCTGCGCCACTCAGGGATCCCTAAAAGAAGTTTTAAACAGACCTTTCTGCACTGTGAGCTTCTGGAGAACTTGGGCTATACTGTATCCCTAGTTAGTTTTGTGGTAGTTTAGAGCATTTCATTCATCAGTAAAGCTTTCTATCAATAAATTTATCTTTAACTGAATGTGCTTTCATGTCTTTTGATCTGTGAAGAAATACCAGTCTTAGAATTTCTTCAGTATTTAGTTACTTCCACACTGTATTTAACTATCTTTTGTAATAAATCTCCTTTTCTTCAGGTTTTTTTTTTTAATCTACTTAGGTTCACAAGTAAAAATACTCATTTTAAGCAGTTAAAATGTCCACGACTTTTAATGCTGTATTTAGCTATTTATCCTAAAGACAGTTCATTTGTGCACCCTTAACGTGAAATTAGCTCTATTTATCTATAATCTAAATTATACTATCCATAATTTGCTTAATCTCTAGGGTTCAACTGCACGAATGGATCATGAAACAGCAAGCGTTTTGAGTTCTAGTAGCACACACTCTGCTCCTCGAAGGTTGACAAGTCATCTGGGTACCAAGGTAACAGAAGATTATAACCTCTAGTCACTAATACTATGATTACTTTGCTAAAACATTCTTCACTCATCTTTTAAATTCAACTAGAGGAGAATTCTGGTTCCATCACCACAGTCTCTAATTCTTAAAGAAGCATCTTTTTATACAAAAGAGCGCAAAGGAAAAATGAGGATTATAAAAAGAGCCGATTTACCTAGTTTTTGTTTTTGTTTTTTTTTTCCTTCTGAGCCTTACTATTCACTTCTCTGCACATATCCTAAGCTTCAGCCACCCTGGCTTCTTTACTGGTCCCCAAGAATCCCCTGTGACTTCCTGCCTCTTACAGTGGCTCACACCTCCACTTTCTTCGCCACCACAAATGGCTGTCAGCGTCCACGTCAGCCCTCAGAACTCTTCGTTCTGATTCCCAGTGTCCTCTTTCCTCCCCATGTGGTCTGTCTACCTCCTTTGAATCACTGCAATTTGCATGAAATTCTCTTGGGGAATAGGGCCTTTAAAAAAAAAAATAAAAATCTTCTTTGGCATCTAGCACAGCCTGCACATAATGAGTGTTTAATAAATTTATTTAAGTAGGTGGAGAAATTACTGAAATGGAATATTACTCATTGCTGATAAGTGAGTTTTCTTGGTCTCTCAGATATTAGCAAATATTTTAGGACTTGAGAAATGGTGTGTTTAAAAAGAAAACAGTTATTTTATTGTAGTTTTAAAACCAGAGTCTTTAATATTATATTGACAAAGATGAAATTCTAATATTACTAAATAGGATATTTTCTGTTAAATATAAATAATCCCATTAACTGTTCTCACAGCATAGCCCACTTTCTCTTTCTTTAACAGTATAATGGCTCTTATGAAAACCATTACCAAAATAAGTAATGTTGATTTAGAAAATGAATTTAATCAGTGGTATTAATCCTTTTAATACCTCAGAATAGCTGCTGATAACTCACCATAGCATCCTCTGGTAAGCCAATAACTGTGCTAGAAGTTGTATGTACACTTTCTCTGATCTTCTCAAAAACACTGTGAGGTATTGTTGTGCCTCTTTTTTAAATGAGAGAACTGAAACAAAAAAAAGTTCAGGCAGCTGTTGCATATTTAAATTAGACCTCAGCCCCAGGTCTGTCTAACATCAGCGTATGGTTCTTACTCTAAAGAAAATCTAATATTCACCAGTACTGTTGCAGGAATACTGGGGCTGGAATAGCGAGGATACCTTTGCCTCTTGAAGTGATATATGAATGATAATATTAAACTGTACTCCATTTTTGAATGCCAGCTACTATCCTATTCCTGTATTATTTCATTTAATCTTCACAGAGAAAACCTTGTCAGGTAAATTTGTCCATTTTGCAATTGAGAAAATTGGGACTCAGAGAAATCAAGTAACATGGTAGTGTCACGCAGTTTATTCCTGATTGGTGGAGCCAGAATTTGAAAACCCAATTTGTCCACAGTTCTGTACTGTCTTCCTAAAACATTAATATCTAAGAGTAGTGCATGTTTATTTAGAGTTTCTCAGCCTCAGCATTTTTGGCTGGATAGTTCTTTGTTTAGTGTTAAGTTTAGCAGTAACCCAGGTCTGGTAGGTGTCCATAGCACTTCCTCTCATAGTTGTGACCACCAAAAATGTCTCCAAAACATTACCAGAGGTGTCCTGGGAGGACCTAAATTGCTACTGATTTATAGAGATGATACGCTCCTTGTATATAATAGCTTCTGCTTTTAGGTAATAGCTCTGGCTTTGAAATAAGGCTAATAATCACAGTCGAGGACAACTGAGTACTGTTTCCAGTTTCTAATCTGCTTCTGAGTAAACCCTTAGAATTTATGGTCAGAGAGTAATTGATGCTTACTGGATGCTTTAATTTTTTTTTTTTTTTTTTTTTTTTTTTTTTTTTTTTTTACTAAGAATCCTGGCCTCTGTCCTCCCTATATGATCATGGCATTCTTTTTATGACAAAATATTTTTCTATGTATAAGGGAGAAATCACGTACTTTTAACAATACTATAATCTGGTAAGGGTTAGTGATTGTCCAGAACTAGTGCTTAGTAAATAATAATTGTTGAAAAGTGTTTTCTATTTATTGATTACAGTCATAAATTAAAAGAAGTAAAATAAACTTTTAAATTGTGTAAAATATTTAAATAAACCACATTCCAAAGTTTGTGTCTGTGTGTATGTATATCAGTTGTCACTCCTATAATCAGCTGATCCAGACAAACATTGAAGTATGTGAGAACTACTTTCTCTTTCAACACTGTATGCCACTGCTACTTCTGTTTACTCATATAAACAAATTGGTGATGATTATATGGGTTTTGAAATCATGCTCATTACTTCATCCTAGAAAGGGGTTTTGTTTTTCTTTTTAGTGAGTTACAATAAATATCCCATTCATCACTTCATTGGTGTTAGCATTTGGATATTAAAGTCATAATTTTGTTTCTAAACTCATTTGGCCCACAGGTGGAAATGGTGTATTCATTGTTGTCAATGCTTGGTACTCATGATAAGGATGATATGTCGCGAACTTTGCTAGCTATGTCTAGCTCCCAAGACAGCTGTATATCCATGCGACAGTCTGGATGTCTTCCTCTCCTCATCCAGCTTTTACATGGCAATGACAAAGACTCTGTGTTGTTGGGAAATTCCCGGGGCAGTAAAGAGGCTCGGGCCAGGGCCAGTGCAGCACTTCACAACATCATTCACTCACAGCCTGATGACAAGAGAGGCAGGCGTGAAATCCGAGTCCTTCATCTTTTGGAACAGATACGAGCTTACTGTGAAACCTGTTGGGAGTGGCAGGAAGCCCATGAACAAGGCATGGACCAGGACAAAAATCCAAGTATGTTCACTATAGTGCATGTTACAAAGTAAATGTAAGAGCTTTCTAAATGGAAACTTTTTTTAGCCTGTATGTTGTCTTTATGAGTAGGAGTGGGAAACGTATAGTAGCCACCTGCATTGCTAACATAGCTTAAAACTTAAGTCTGTATTTTTCTAGAAAAACTGTAATAAAGGAAAATGTTACATGCAGTCCTATGCAAGCAAAAAAGAACAGGAAATCAAGAGAGATTTACAGTCATAGTGCAGTAGATCTAGAAAAAACTTTGAGCAATTATGTTTCCATCCCTTCTATTTTATAGATTAAGCTCAAGAAAGTACTTTGGTTCCTTCCACTGTTAGTGCCAAGCCATAATCTACATTTGCACAACACTGCTCAGTGGATACAGAGCTGTGTTATATTTGTTCTGTTATTTGAGCCTCACAACAGCCTCCTCAAGTAGGAAGGGAAGGTATTATCATATTCATTTTACAGATGAAGAAACTGAGGCTCAGAAAGGCTAAAAGACTTGCCTGTAGCCTCACAGCTAGTGTGTGGTGGAGCCAGGACCAGAGGCCAGATCTCCTGACTCTCAAGCCCGTGCTCTTCTCACTGCACCATCCTGCTTCAGGCGATGATGGGTCCTAGTTGCTGGGAGTGATCACCCGCTCAGCTCTTTGCTGAGGGAGAAACCCTGGGCTACTAACCCCTCTCCATCAGGAGCAGGGACGTTGGGAATTGGGACCCTTGGGGACATAACTTACCTCATTTCTGTAGCAAGAGCCAAAAGCAGTAAGTATATAAGGTAAGACCTTCCTTTGACCTAGTAAGAACACACGCGCGCAGAGGACAGGGGACGATTGTATCACTGCTGATTCAGGGAGAGGAGGAAGGGTAGTGACGAGAACACCCATGAAGCTTTAGCAGATTTTTTTTTTAGCTTAGGTATAAAGGTGAATTTCTTTAAAATTCACAAATTTTCAAGAATAAGAAAATAGCAGAAATAGTCCTTTATAATATCTGTCCTTGGGAGAAGGAAAACTAAGATACTTAACTGCGAAAATATTGTTTTTCTTTTCTGGATTTTTTTTCTGTGGGTATCCACAATTATGTTATAACTTGTATTTTGTGATCTTAATAACTATTCTCAAAATAGTTAAATAAAATTAATTAATACTACTTCTGAAAAATAGACTTTTTTACATTTTTATTTCAAATAATGAGCTTTGAAACTGTGTGCACAGTATTAAATGTGGAGGTACATTTTCTTGGACACCTCTTTAGGTTTTTGTTTCCTACCTAATCTACATGGTAAGCTTTCTCAACTAGGTTTGTGCCAGATGTCTTTGCTACATTTGTACACAAATAGGTGCTTTTAACCCTCACTCAATGACAACAGTTTAAATAGAAACTTAACAAAACAGCTTTATACCAAAGTATTTTTAGTCTTTTATATATTCAACATTATTTTAAATTATTATTTGAGTTATGGCATAAACCTGCAAAGGATTTATTCTAACAGTTAAAGGCAGATAAATAGTAAACATTTTTCCAGAACCAAGAAAAACCCTTTACTCATATTTTCTTTTTCATGTTGGTAGTATTTATTCATCTACTCAGCAAATACTTGTTGATCTACTAAACTACTCACATTAGATATATATTAGTGAGCCCTGCTTTTTTTAAGTATAACAAACATTGCTTTTGAGAAAATAAAGGATTATGGTTTATGTCCATTCTATTTTTCAGTGCCAGCTCCTGTTGAACATCAGATCTGTCCTGCTGTGTGTGTTCTAATGAAACTTTCATTTGATGAAGAGCATAGACATGCAATGAATGAACTTGGTAAGACAAAAATGCTTCTTAATGCCATAGAAGAGTACTGAAGATTTTTCATCATTGTTGAACTGGATATGAGGCCACTAATTTCTATTTACCACCTGCTTCCTCCTTGCAGCAAATGATTATACTCTGGTTTCCAGAGGAGAAAAGGTTCTTAATGATAGAAACCGCTGCCCTGTATAAACTAACTTGGCTTTTCAAAACCTTAGCCAGCAATTAGAAAAACTACAAAATGGGCCGGTCCTTGCCCCTGTTGCCACAGTAGACCCTATGTGATAGTTGATGGGGAGGGTAATTTATATTGTTTTGAAATACAGAGCTGGTGATTGTTCTTGAACTCAGCCACTTCTGATGGACACCAGGAGAAATTATAATAAAGATTCTCATTTACCTTCATGGTTATCAGTACTTTACTATAGATTTTCGTGATAAACAGCACGGTATCTTTGAAAGTGGTTAATGAAGAAAAGCATTATGCTCTAATTTCAGTTAGAAAAATTCCACTGATTTTGGAAGGATTACTCTTTTATGTATGTGTTATCATACACTCTAAACCTTTTATAACCTGCATTTTTGTGCACCCCATTTGTCATGTAACGGTTTTTCTTTGATTTCTAGGTTCATTTTGCACAAGTGGTATTTATAATTGCATCATGCTGAGCCATCTCATGTGAACTGGATCTCTCTAGTTGTGCCACAAGCAAGAACCGTACACTGAGTTCCCATCTTAGTGTAGCTGTGCCCTTGCTTTTTGTGCTGTTTATTTTACGTTACATCCCAGCCCCCACTTTTATTCCTACCACCCTCATCATTATCATTCATCATTTATCTTAAAAGTCACAAAGTCATGAGACTCTTAAATACAGAGAACTTGCAGGGCCAAAAATGAGTGTTGTCTCCTTCAGAGTCATCACTTTGGGGGCTACGTACTTTGTGATCTCAGGCCTGCCCTCCAGCCATGCTTTTCTTCCCACAGCCCCTTGTGGTTGGCCCATCTGATTCTCTTTCCTTCCCCCACCCCCAGGCTCCTGAGTGTGATCTTATGAATTCTCCCCTCCTCAATAACAGTTTCAGCGTTTGTGAAAATGTTATGGTTGAGTATTTTTTTATGCTAGTTAATAATGGGAAAGGGATAAAAATCATGAATGAACAAGAAAAATAATCCAATTTTAAACTACTGCAAAGGTTTTTCTGTAAATGTCCCTGTGTTCCAATGAACTGTAGACTAGGACTGACACATTAATCATCTGAATTTCAAAGTAAAACCTAGACTCAGTATTTGTTCCTCTTCCTTCTTCAGGTAGGAAGGCTACCCGGGGCATTTCATCACAGGAGCTAGGGCAGGGGCTTTCAGGTGAGGAGCAGGATGGGGCCTCTGGGGGTGTGACTGTTGGGGACAGAGCCACAGGGGATTACCTTCTTCTCATTCCTAGCCTCGGACTCTGCACAAAGCAAAAGAAAAATCAAGGTTTGTGGCTTGTAGGGAGATGGAGTAAGGAAGCACAAGGTATCTGACAGTAAGGGATAAGGAGGAATGAAGTCCCAAATAGACGAAGGGAAATTCCTAAGCCCAGTGAGCTGGGACTGTCATTTGTACACACAGGAAGATTCTACAACTCATCAAGGTCATTTAGGTTTGCACTATTAGTATGACAGGTTTTAGACTATACTATCTTTGATGTGTACATTGGTGAAGTCCCAGCTCTGTCCAGAAACTGTGCTAGGCACTACGTGTGAAAATGGTGAAGATACGGTCCTGGCTTTCAAAGAGCTCATGATCTATTTGTAGTAGTATTTCCAAAACTAGATGATAATCACCAGAGACATGTGTCAAACTGCATCGGTTCTCTGGCCCTGTAGCAAGGCTTGGGGCGATTCTCCTAGGAATCATTTAATTAGTGGCCCAGGTGATTCTTAGGATCAGGAAATTTCATGAAACACCAGTATTTTATGTTGGGTCCCTAATATTTATTTTAGAGTAAGGCATTTCATGCTAATGGTGACTATCTAACCCGAGGAAAAGTAAAACAATGTACTCTTTAAAACTAAATGTCATCTTTCTATTATCCTTTTTATATATATAAATCTAAATTTAAGGGTTCTGTTGAATGGTTTCTGTTCAAACCATTGGTCCTCTACTAGCTCTGAGGTTATGAGATCACACATTGGGTAATATCTGGTCCATCTGGACCACTTTTTTTTTGTAAACACACTGAGCAAACTGTGAAAGGCTATGCTTATTATGCTTATCACCTCTGCGTATTACCTTGAAACAGCCTTAGTTTTCTAAGGGCAACCTGTTTTTTTATTGTCAGTCATGAATTCACATTATATATTTGTGAATCCATTTATAGTTTTGACATGAATTGTATTGGTTGCCTTAAAATTTACAGAAATGTTTCTTTGTATTGGCCTGAAATCATAAAAAGCTCTCTCTTTTATCTGATATCCTAAATTTTATCAGATGTTCTTTTTTCTCCATGCTTTTGTTGATACTGACCATATCCTTCTTTAATCTTTGTTTTCAGGTTCAAATCCTAAGGGTTTTAGTTTTTATTAAAAAAAAAAAAACTGTTCATTTAGTACCTTCTTGAGACCTTCTTTATTATTAGATCATTTCACTTTCCTTAAGAAAGTATCACAGATATTGCCATACGAGGCAGGATTTTACATAGGCACAAAGCGCAGTATGTTTTGCTTTGGTATCAATAGCCTGCTTTATAAATATGCTCAACATCTAGGTGACCCTGTCATTCATTATGTAGGGCCACGGTCTTTAGATCATCAGTCATTCTCAATTCAATTCCCTGAGTCAAAAGCCCTCAGTTCTTTCATTGGCTCCTTTTCTTTTACTCAAGTATTAAATGGTGGGAATTCCTCAAAGCTCTGTCCTAGGTTTTCTTAATCTCTCCCTAAACAATATCCTCCAATCTACGGCTTCAGTTACAGTGTTTTTCAGATTTACATTTTAATCCATGTTCCCTCTCCTGAGTTTGAGACACATCATCACATTCTTCGTCTGATATCTTCACTTACGTGATTTTTCAAGCATCTTTAAACTCAGCTGCCCCAACTGAATTTGTTATGTCCTTCAGCCCCAAATCTCTGTCTCTTCCAGATTCCTTTTTCTCAGAAAATGGCATATGCCAGTCAGCCCAGTTCCTCAGGCCAGAATCTCAGAAGACATCCCGTAACTCTATCCTCCTTATCCCCTGCACTGAGTAACTGAATACTTTAATTTTCCTTCTTAGATTTATCTCAAATCATTGCTCTCCTTTTCAGCCCCAGTTCAGGCCACTATTATCTCTCCTACTCTGCACATCTTTGTCTTACTTGGCTCTGCACTTACAGGTATCCATTCTGCAACCACAGGAATCTGTTTAGGATGTATATTTAATCATTCCTTCCTCTGGCTGAAATCCTTGGGGTAACATATAAAGTCTTACATGATACGGCCTCTACCCATTTTGTAGCCTCACCGTGAGACCTTCTCATAGTATTTTAGGCTCACTGGCTCTTGCACATACTGTTTCATCTGCCTAAAATGTTTTTTTTTTTTTTTAATTATTCCTGCCCCACTCATCTTAGATACTCATTCATCCCTTAAGTCTTTCTTAACTTAAACATTATTTCCTCAGCCTTTTTCTAGGTACTCTCAATCTAGGTTCAGTCCACCTGTTACCTTTCCCTGTGTTTCTACACAGTCCATTATATGTAAATTAGTTGTTCAAGAATCTGCTTTTGTTCTAATGTATAAGATCCATAAAAATAGTGACTGTATTGTGTTCACTGGATATGTATTTTTCCATCATCATGGGTGGATGGAGGAAAATCTTCCTAAATACGGTTTGGGCTTTCCTTAACCAAATTATTTTTCACTTATCTACATTTAAACTTATCTGTCATTGCTGCTAGTCCTAAAGATTTGCACCAATCTTCCTACAGTTAATTCTCCTGGCTTGGAATTCTTGAAGCCAGAACTTGGAATTCTCCAAGTCAGAACTTTGCTTTGTGAACTTGCAGATTCCTCTTCTAGATAATTCATGAAAATACTAAATGTACAGGTCCTCTTCCAGATTAATAACCTGGCTGTTTAGACTTAGAATTTCCAAAAATCACCTGTTTATGTTCATCCTTCTTTTTTCTGTCTAAGCCACTTCTCTGTGACAAAAATATTTGCCCAGTCCCATGATGATTAGTACTGATGATAAATAATATTTTGAATAGCTTCCATATCGATTTTTATTTTATACATTTACTCACCATTTTGCTTTACCTTTCTTTTCTTGGTTCTGTTTTGTTATTACCCTTTCCTTTCTGTCTTTCCCTTTCCTTTTCCTTTTTCTCTTTGCCTTCCTAGTGTTGACCACTGTGGGAATTGTTGAGCATACCCAGTGGTGGGAATCCAGGGGAAAGAAAGTACTAAATTCTAGCGTAGTTGGTATTTGACACTTGAGAGTATCAAAGAAAAGTAAGAAATTCTTTAAAATACTTAAATAATAAGTGGTTTTATAGAACTTAGTAATATGTTGAACAGATAATTCTTCATAAAAAAATAGGCTTGCTTCATGCACAGTTTTCATTTAGAAGTTTGAGGATTTCTAAGGTGGAACATTGGAGACTGTCTGTAAAGTTGTAATAATAAAAATAAGTTACCTTTCTTTGCCTTGTGCAGGAAGACCTAGTGTTAGAACATAGCCTTCTTCATCAATGACAAGATATAGTATACGTGTAGTAAATAAAGTATAATGCTCACATCACTCAGTAAGGCAAGGGTGTGGAGGGTGGAGAAGACTGGCAGAAAATATCAGTTGTATTTTATGAGTATTACACAGAAGTTCTTTATAACATTTTTTGTAGCTTGTAATTCTAAAGATGTTTTTAAACCGTATATCCTCATTCTTTGAGATTTTTTTCCTAATTTTTAAACTAGGTACCACTTGTTTTGTTTTAGATTATTGTCTTTTTCCTCTTGCCTTTTTAAATTAGGGGGACTACAGGCCATTGCAGAATTATTGCAAGTGGACTGTGAAATGTATGGGCTAACTAATGACCACTACAGTATTACATTAAGGCGATATGCTGGAATGGCTCTGACAAACTTGACTTTTGGAGATGTAGCCAACAAGGTACGTTTTATAAGATCCATTTCTTATGTATCTCTGGTATGAGTTAGTTTTGTACAAACTGCTTTTCACTAATTTTCTTTTTCCACTCCTGATTAAACACTGATTTAAAAAACTGAACTTCAAACACCACTGCATATTTTTACTCATCTGATAGTTTTATGCCTAAACAAAGGCAAAATATGGAACACAGTAATGGATTGATATAATTGCTTTAAAATACTATTCCCAGGAATGAGAGCAAAAATCTAAAAATCCTATTGACAGATGTGTTATACATATATCCCTTCCATCCAAGTAAGAGACTTGACCTTAAAACCCTTTGCCTATCATTTCTTTTCACTTACTCATTTTACTTTTCCAGTTTACTAAGAGAAGAACAGATCACAAAGGACTTCCTTTCTGTAAATTGGTAAAATATTAGGCTGATTAAAATGAGACCACTAAAACTGGGTTTGAAGTTTATTAGTCAAAAATAGAGCACAGCTTCAAGTTGCCTTGTTATTGACCCTCTGTTCCATTTCTCATTTTACAGGCTACACTCTGCTCTATGAAAGGCTGCATGAGAGCACTTGTGGCCCAACTAAAATCTGAAAGTGAGGACTTACAGCAGGTACCAGTTAGAATTTCAGATGTTTTTCCTGGATATTAGTGGATTAATACCTTGACTTAGTTTAATTCAAGCTGTGGCTGAGTATTCAGTATCTCGTGTTTCAATTATGGTTACTTTAACTCCAGAATAAAGGAAAACAATTACATTGTACGAATTCCTTTTGGCACTATATTAACATTTAGGAGGAATTTATTAGTAGACTTCTACTCTTACCACTAGCATTAAAAACAAAGCAACCGTATGTTATTTTATGTTCAAATTATTCTAGAATTAATTTCATTTTCAGGTTATTGCAAGTGTTTTGAGGAATTTGTCTTGGCGAGCAGATGTAAATAGTAAAAAGACATTGCGTGAAGTTGGAAGTGTGAAAGCATTAATGGAATGTGCTTTGGAAGTTAAAAAGGTACCTTTGAAAACATTTAACATTCTAATTTGCATTTCATTTTGGGTTACTTTTTTGCTACCCTTTCCCACCCTTGAGATTCCCTAATTTCTGACCTGCTTATCTCACCAGTTCTTAGACTTAATCCAAACTCATAAAGTATTAAGATGGAAAAGATTGTACAAAGCAGCCTAGGATAAGTCAGGGCTTTTCAGGTTTGACACTGTTTGTATCTTGGACCAGATAATTGCTTGTTTTAAAGGGACTGACCTGTGCCTTATAGGATGTTAAGCACATCTTTGACCTTTGCCCACTAGATACTAATACACTTCCTCTCAGTCATGACAATGAAAGATGTGTCCACATATTACCAAAGGTGCCCCAGAGGGGCGAAGGGGAAAAACCACCCCAAGTGGAGAATCACTGTGTATGTGGTATCATTGTTACCTCCGTGCTCTCCAGAGTCCTCAGTTCTGATAGTCACCTTATCAAGAGGTAATCATACCCAGGGGTAAAGATTTCTTCAAATAATAATTTGTTGACAAAAGGAAATATCATCAGGTGGCATATCTACTTCAGAAACTAAGCTAACTTAAAAAGAATTAAACTTGGAATTTGGGAGGGACTAAGCAGATCTTCTTAGCTAATTTGGGCTTCCTTTCACCCAACCAGTCCTGCTAGACGCTGCATTTTTTTCTTCAAAATTTCCTTTTTAGAGAAGGCAAAGAATTTTTTGTTTTCATTTGTTTATGTATTTTTGTGAAAGTATTTTATACAAGGAAAACCCAAGAAAATCAACTGAAAAATCATTAGAAAATATTCAACCTAAAAACTGGTTGTAATAATAACATTCAAATATACTTAGGGTCTACATAAAAATACCTTTAAAACACTCTTGAATCGGCAGAATAGTATTTCTTTCTTTTTTGTTGTTGTTGTTTTTAAGATCTTATTTAGGAGCAAGTGCGCAAGCAAGAGAGCACAAGCGGGGGGAACAGCAGAGGGATAGGGTGAAGCAGCCCCCCAACGTGGGGCTCCATCTCAGGATTCCAAGATCGTGACCTGAGCTGAAGGCAGATGTTTAACCGACTGAGCCACTCAGCCACCCTAGAACACTTGTATTTCTTGCAGGAAAGAAGGTAGATGAATGGCCCAAGATACTTGAAAAGATACTCAACACCATTAGCCATGAGGGAAATACAAGTTAAAACTACAGTGAGATACCATTATACAAATTATATTGGTTAAAATGTAAAAGATTACCCAAGTGTTGTCAAGGACATTAAGCAGCTGGAATTCTCATGCACTGCTGGTGGGAATGTAAGATGGTATGCCACTTTGAAGAACATTTGGCAGTGTTTTAAAGTTCAACATACACTAAGCACACAACCTAGCCATTCCAATCCTAAGTATTTACCTAAGAGAAACAAAAACTTGTATTCACACAGTCTTAAGCACAGATGTTTGCAACAGTACTTCTTTGATAGCAAAAAACTAGAAGTAATTCCAGTGCCCATCAACAGGTGAATGGATAAACAAATTAGGGGAGGTCCACAATGGCATACCATTTGGCTATTTTAAAATTGGACTATCCGGACGCCAGGGTGGCTCAGTGGTTGAGCATCTGCCTTCGGCTCAGGTCATGACCCCGGGGCCCCAGGATCGAGTCCCACATCAGGCTCCCCTGCATGGAGCCTGCTTCTCCCTCTGCCTGTGTCTCTGCCTCTCTCTCTGTCTCTCATGAATAAATAAAATCTTTAAAAAAATAAACACTTTCTAAAAAATGAACTGCTGATACATGCAATAATCTATAATGACAGAAAACAGATCTACAGTTGCCTGGAGCTGGGAGTGGATTACAAGAAGGTACTAGGAAATTTGGGGGTAATAAATGTTATCTTGATTGTAGCAGTGGTTTCCAGGTATACTCCTACATCAAAAGTGATCGTACTGCACATTTGAAAAATGTGGTTTATTGTTCTCCAATTATACCTCACTAAAATTATACCAAAAAACTAGAGTCCACACTTTACGACTCACTAATCAAGTGTGTGTGTATTTTCAGAAAGATTTAACGTGTCTGTATGAAAACAGACATGAGAACTTGTACTCTTGCTAAGAGCTCATGACTTTGTTTCAAGGACCTCAAAGGTCTTTATACAAATTTGTTGCTACAAATTGAGAAATCTAGATTAAAAGGCTTATTACCCTACTGAGAAATGCAAAAGAAGACCATAATGAATGGAAAGACATACCTGCTCCTTTAAAAGCAGCATTTTAAAAGATCATCATCTATAAATTTTTTTTCATCTGTAAAATTTTTTTTTTCATCTGTAAATGGAAAGCCCAGTCTTGGAAAAACTGGCTCAGCAGAAATTTAAATATCCGGTTCTGGTTTGGGCCTGCTTCTGGTTAACAGTGTTAGAATTTACCTTTTACTTCTTTTTCTACATTCAATGGAATAGTCATTCAGAACATTCTCTTTTTAATTCATCATCTCTTCCTTTTCAGCTTCACTACTAATGAGCAGGAGAGTCAGAATTACCTTTCCAATCCCCATGCACTGCTCATTTTAAGCTCACTGGGCTCGCCCCTACTCTCCTCCACAGAACCTTTCCTTCCCTGCACTCTGTGCCCCAAGCATTGCTGTTTTCTGAAAGCTGTGAGTCCCTCACTCCTGTCTTCTGTATCTTCTCTACTGGGTATAGAGATGGCTTTTTTGTTTCAACTCTGTCTTTAAGAAGACCAGTATTTTGAAAACAAACAAACAACCCTTATCTGTTGCTTCTTGTAACTCCTGCAATGTTTCTCCCATTTCCATAGCAACCAAAACAATGAACAAGTCACCAGCCCCATTTCTTCACTGGCCATACCTTCAGGTCCTTCTAATTTTGTTTCTAACCAAATCTAGGTTTATAGATTAATTTGGGATTTCTTTTCTACCTGCACCTATATTTTGGATCACACACCTTATTGAAACTCCTTCCTTTGTTTTTACCACCTATACTTAGCAACTTCTAATCATTTCTCATCTCCTCTAACTATAAAGCTTTGAAACAAAACCCTCACCTCTGATCTCTGGGCCATTTGTAATTGAGCTCACTTCACACCGCTAAACTGTTGCTGTTTTCTCTGTTCTCAGGATACTCTGAATGTCCCATCTCTACCTCAACCACAGTGTAACTAAAATTGAGCTCCTAACCTTCTCATTTCTCCATCGGTGAAAGCACTTCTGCCCTGCCTCCTGATAAACAGTACTTGCTCTCCTAAATTCTCTTAATTTCTTGATGAAGAGGACCCAGCAGCTGTTTACTGGGTTGAGGCCAAAGTGTTTGCCCTGACATTCAAGGCCTTCTTTTACTGTCTCCCCTCACCTGGACTTGGATCTCCTCTGTGTCGTCTTTATATTCTTCAGTCCTCCCTTGCTGATTCCCACTTCCATGCCGGGAGCAACAACAGGTCTTATCTTCTACAGAGCTGCTTTCCTCCATGAAATATTTTATTTGTTCGATTAAATTCAAATAGCAGTAATCTTCCCTTAGTTTATGTATGGTTTTGCCTTTTTTTCCCCCCTAAGTAAATTATTAGCAGGTGTCAGTTTGCCACATTGGTATCCTCTGGAGTGCCTCTAGTCACAGAGTAGATTTTTAATGAGTGTTTGTTCTTGGTTGATTTATAGTAAGAAAAACTGACATCAGGATCTTGGCGAGTTTTAACCAGATATACTTAATTATATACTCAGTGTTTGGTTTTTGTAGCAATTACAAGTTGACGGTTTACTGGTTTATTACTGGTTTACTACCTATGATGTTTTATGCCAAGGAAGTTCTGGTTTCTGGAATTACTTTGTTTCTGTGGGAGTTAAGGACTTGGGAGTTTTTCCAATATGCTTACTTTGTAATAAGTTATATTGTTACTTTTGAATCAGCCACAAAGAAGCATATATGTCTGCTTTGTATACAAACAGAATATTGTACATATGCTCTGCAACTTGCTCTTTTTATTTAATAATATGTCTTAGACATTTTTCCATATCAGCATGTAGGGTGGGTTTTTTTTTCTGGTTTCTATTATCATGCAAATGTTATCTTTTCAGAATGCACATCAGTTATGTTTCATATTCTAAGATGAGCTTTTGTAAGATACGTGTGTATCTAAACACTTAGAATAAAGTTCAAAACGGTCATTAATTGAGTATCCTGCTTGTTCTGTGGGGAATCTCACTAACTTAAGTTCTGTTGGGTGTTTTATCAGTTTTTCTAAATGTGGAGCACCTGATACGTTGCCTGTGAGCGGCAGGGGAGATACTAACAGTAACAACTTACTCAATAGAAGTAGGCATAGAAATTGTAAGAGGCATATTCCAACTCTAATTAGATGACACATGTTGTTTCTTAACAGGAATCAACCCTCAAAAGCGTATTGAGTGCCTTATGGAATTTGTCAGCACACTGCACTGAGAATAAAGCTGATATATGTGCTGTGGATGGTGCACTTGCGTTCCTGGTTGGCACTCTCACTTACCGAAGCCAGACAAATACTTTAGCCATTATCGAAAGTGGAGGTGGGATATTACGGAATGTGTCCAGCTTGATAGCCACAAACGAGGACCACAGGTAAATACAGAGTTTTATATTACTTTTAAATGAATTAGTGTAGAATTCGTACCCTCAGGAAGACCTAGTTGTAAGCACTATTTTGTGTAATTGTGCAAGTGCTAAACCAAATTTATTACAGTGAAAAGATAGCTATTAATCCCTAACTTACTTGTTAGTATACTTATTCTAATAAAAGTTTATAGTATAAAGATGTATAGAAATAAACAAATAATAGTTGGTAGGTATAATCCATATAATGGGGGAAAAAGTCACGAATGCTACAGAGAACGAAATCCCATTGTTTATGTTAGTATGGCATAAAGGAATATAAGGATTATAAAAAAAACAATCTATGGATATGATCCAGAGAATCCAGTAGTTTAATATTTTTTTAAGATTTATTTATTTATTTGAGAGAGAGCTGGGGGAGGGGTAGAGGGAGAGAAGCAGATTCCCTACCAAGTGTGGAGCCTGACACGGGGCTTGATCCCAGGACCCTGAGATCATGACCTGAGACAAAATCAGGAGTGAGACATCTAGCCAACTGAGTCACCCAGACACCCCCAATAGTTGACATTTTTCTTAATAGTGTCTTAATATCATTATTATATTATGGAGATTATATTAAGTAATCTTAATATTATTTAGCCAACAGCCATTCATCTAGGGCTGTGAAACCTAAGAAAGCATCTCAGATACACGGCACACATTTTCAGAACTTGGGTTCTGTGTTTTGTCAACTCAGGTCATGATCTCAGGGTCATGAGGTGGAGCCCCGCATTGGGCTCTGATGGGTGTGGAGTCTGCTTGAGACTGTCTCTCTCCTCCTTCCTCTGTCCCTCCTCCCCCTCAAAAAAGTATATGTTTGGGTATTTTCACAGCGTATTTATTTATTATCCAGTAGTGCTTGTCATTTTCAGAAAGACCATGAGTTACTGTAACAAAACTTGTAAAGAATGTGAACATCTTCTCTTGAGGTTTTTGATGCACAAACAAGCCTTATAGCCCCCTCTGCCATGCAAAGACCTCTTAAACTCAGTAAGCACGCAGGTGTCTGTTGGGCTGCTGAGAGAAGAGTGTCATATTAAAGCTCATTGTCCACCGTTGCCCATCCGTTTTAAAGCCCTCTAAAGTTCTATCATTAATCTTAAGTTGACCATGCATTAAATAAGCTACAGCTCTTCCAAGTCCCAAATTGCTAACTCTCAACCTTTATTTTTATAATTATCTTTAAATTTTAAAAACCTTTCTTTGGAAGTAACAACTACACAGTTTGGCAGAGCACGCTTCTAAGGAGGAGGGCATTGTCACAAAATCCATCCAGGAGCATAGAGGTTATTCTGAAAAGTCAGTTTGCCAGTCTCGGAGCCTACAGTGTGCTCCCTGGCTATGTGAAGATCGAGCGATCGATTCCGCCATCCCTTCCAGGATGTCTTTGTAGTCAGCCCTGTGGCACCCGTCCATAGACTGAGTTACCACAGTGACCTGCCCAGCATAAGAGTTTATGACACATTCATCGAGGAACTCTCACTATGTCAATAGAGCAAATGTATCTGCTCAGGAAAAAAAAATTTTAATTTTATTTTAAGGTTTATTTAATTATTTTAGAGAGAGTGCATGTGCACATTGCTGAGTGGGTGGGTGGGGGAGCAGTAGAGGGAGGGGGAGAGAGAGAGAGAGACAGAGAATCCCCTAGCCAACTGCTCGTTGACTGGGGAGTCCGACGCAAGGCTCCATCTCAAAACCCTGAGATCATGACCTGAGCCAAAATCAAGAGTTGGATACTCAACTGACTGAGCCACCCAAGTGCCCCAGGAAAAAAAATTTAAAAGCTATTGGGTTGGAATAGGAAATGCAGAATAGATTACACTTTTACTTCTTTCAGCCTGACATATGAGTACTTTTAAAAAATTAACATTAAATGAACTAGGAACAAAGGGAGATGTGAAGTGCTTGAAATTTGTAGTATAATTTGGTGCAGTTTTATTATGCCTATTAATCTCTTTAGATTTAAATTTGTTCTCTCATCTCTTATTTGTTATAATAAGCAGATTTTTACCTTAATTTTGGATCTCTTATTTTTATTTCAGGCAAATCCTAAGAGAGAACAACTGCCTGCAAACCTTATTACAACACTTGAAATCTCACAGTTTGACAATAGTTAGTAATGCATGTGGAACCTTGTGGAATCTCTCAGCAAGAAATCCAAAAGACCAAGAAGCATTATGGGACATGGGGGCAGTCAGCATGCTCAAGAACCTCATTCATTCAAAGCACAAAATGATTGCTATGGGAAGTGCCGCAGCTTTAAGGAATCTCATGGCTAATAGACCTGCAAAGTATAAGGATGCCAATATTATGTCTCCTGGTTCAAGCTTGCCATCTCTTCATGTCAGGAAACAAAAAGCCCTAGAAGCAGAATTAGATGCTCAGCATTTATCAGAAACTTTTGACAATATTGACAATTTAAGTCCCAAGGCATCTCATCGTAACAAGCAACGACACAAGCCAAATCTGTATGGTGACTATGTTTTTGACACCAATCGACATGATGATAATAGGTCAGACAATTTTAATACTGGAAATATGACTGTCCTTTCACCATATTTAAATACTACAGTGTTGCCCAGCTCTTCTTCATCAAGAGGAAGTTTAGACAGTTCTCGTTCTGAAAAAGATAGAAGTTTGGAGAGAGAACGAGGAATTAGCCTAGGCAACTACCACCCAGCAACGGAAAATCCAGGCACGTCTTCAAAGCGAGGTTTGCAGATTTCCACCACTGCCGCCCAGATTGCCAAAGTCATGGAAGAAGTATCAGCCATTCACACCTCCCAGGAAGACAGAAGTTCTGGGTCTACCACTGAGTTACACTGTGGGACAGATGAGAGGAACACACTAAGAAGAAGCTCGGCTGCCCACACACATGCAAACACATACAGCTTCACGAAGTCAGAAAATTCAAACAGGACGTGTCCTGTGCCTTATGCTAAATTGGAATACAAGAGATCTTCAAATGATAGTTTAAACAGTGTCAGTAGTAGTGATGGTTATGGCAAAAGAGGTCAGATGAAGCCTTCCATTGAATCCTATTCTGAAGATGACGAAAGTAAATTTTGCAGCTATGGTCAATACCCAGCTGACCTAGCCCATAAAATACATAGTGCAAATCATATGGATGACAACGATGGAGAGCTAGATACACCCATAAATTATAGTCTTAAGTATTCAGACGAGCAGTTGAACTCTGGAAGGCAAAGCCCCTCACAGAATGAAAGATGGGCAAGACCCAAACATATAATAGAAGACGAAATAAAACAAAGTGAGCAAAGACAATCAAGAAGTCAAAGCACAACTTACCCTGTATACACTGAGAGCACTGATGATAAACACCTCAAGTTCCAGCCACATTTTGGACAGCAGGAATGTGTTTCCCCATATAGGTCAAGAGGAGCCAGTGGTTCAGAAACGAATCGAGTAGGTTCTAATCATGGAATTAATCAAAACGTAAACCAGTCTTTGTGTCAGGAAGATGACTATGAAGACGATAAGCCAACCAACTATAGTGAACGTTACTCTGAGGAAGAGCAACACGAGGAAGAAGAAAGACCAACAAATTATAGCATAAAGTACAATGAAGAAAAACATCACGTGGATCAGCCTATTGATTATAGTTTAAAATATGCCACAGACATTCCTTCCTCACAGAAACCACCATTTTCATTCTCAAAGAATTCCTCTGGGCAAAGCACTAAAACTGAACACCTCTCTGCAAGCAGTGAGAATACATCCACGCCTTCATCCAGTGCCAAGAGGCAGACTCAGCACCATCCCAGCTCAGCACAAAGTAGAAATGGCCAGACCCCAAAAGCCAACTCCTGCAAAGTTCCCTCTATCAACCAGGAAACGATACAGACGTACTGTGTAGAGGACACCCCAATTTGTTTCTCGCGTTGCAGTTCACTATCCTCTCTGTCCTCAGCTGAAGATGAGATCGGATGTGACCCGGCACCACAGGAGGCAGAGTCTGCTAATACCCTACAAAGAGCAGAAATCAAAGAAAACAGTGGGACAAGGACAACAGAAGATGCTGTGAGTGAGGTTCCAGCAGCGTCACCGCACATCAGAACCAAATCCAGCAGACTTCAGGCTTCTGGTTTATCTGCAGAGTCAACCAGGCACAAAGCTGTTGAATTTTCTTCAGGAGCCAAATCTCCATCAAAAAGCGGTGCTCAGACCCCTAAAAGTCCACCAGAGCACTATGTTCAGGAGACTCCGCTCATGTTTAGCAGGTGTACGTCAGTCAGTTCGCTCGACAGTTTTGAAAGTCGTTCAATTGCCAGCTCTGTTCAGAGCGAACCCTGCAGTGGCATGGTGAGTGGCATTATAAGCCCCAGTGACCTTCCAGATAGCCCAGGACAAACCATGCCGCCAAGCAGGAGTAAAACCCCTCCCCCTCCCCCTCAGACAGTTCAGACTAAGCGAGAGGTCCCTAAAAACAAAGCCTCTGCTGCCGAGAAGAGAGAGAGCGGCCCTAAGCAAGCTGCTGTGAATGCTGCAGTTCAGAGAGTCCAGGTTCTTCCAGATGCTGACACTCTATTGCATTTTGCCACAGAAAGTACTCCGGATGGATTTTCTTGTTCATCCAGCCTGAGTGCTCTGAGCCTTGATGAGCCATTTATACAGAAAGACGTGGAATTAAGAATAATGCCTCCAGTTCAGGAAAACGACAATGGGAACGAAACTGAGTCTGAGCAGCCTGAAGAAGCAAATGAAAACCAGGAAAAAGAGCCCGAAAAGCCTACTGATTCTGAAAAAGACCTGTTAGATGACTCAGATGATGATGATATTGAAATACTTGAAGAGTGTATTATTTCTGCCATGCCAACAAAATCTTCACGCAAAGCCAAAAAACCAGCCCAGACTGCTCCAAAATTACCTCCCCCTGTGGCAAGGAAGCCAAGTCAACTCCCCGTCTACAAACTCCTTCCCTCACAAAACAGGTTACAGGCGCAAAAGCATGTTAGCTTCACCCCAGGAGAGGATATGCCGCGGGTGTACTGTGTCGAAGGGACGCCTATCAACTTCTCCACAGCTACGTCTCTAAGCGATCTGACAATAGAATCTCCTCCAAATGAGTTAGCTGCTGGAGAAGGGGTTAGAGCCGGGGTGCAGCCAAGTGAATTCGAGAAACGAGATACCATTCCTACAGAAGGCAGAAGTACAGACGAGGCTCAAAGAGGAAAAGCCCCGGCGGTGACTATACCTGAGCTGGATGACAGTAAAACAGAAGAGGGGGATATTCTCGCAGAGTGCATTAATTCTGCTATGCCCAAAGGAAAAAGTCACAAGCCTTTCCGTGTGAAGAAGATAATGGACCAGGTCCAGCAGGCGTCTGTGTCTTCATCTGGAACTAACAAAAATCAGTTAGATGGCAAGAAAAAGAAACCTACTTCACCAGTAAAACCTATACCACAGAGCGCCGAATACAGGACACGTGTAAGAAAACACACAGACTCAAAAAATAATGTAAATGCTGAAAGAACTTTCTCAGACAACAAAGATTCAAAGAAACAGAACTTGAAAAATAATTCCAAGGACTTCAATGATAAGCTACCAAATAACGAAGATCGAGTCAGAGGAAGTTTTACTTTCGATTCACCTCATCACTACACGCCCATTGAAGGAACTCCGTACTGTTTTTCACGAAATGATTCTTTGAGTTCTCTAGATTTTGAGGATGATGATGTTGACCTTTCCAGGGAAAAGGCTGAATTAAGAAAAGGGAAAGAAAATAAAGACTCAGAAGCTAAAGTCCCCAGCCACACAGAACCAACCTCTAACCAACAATCCGCTAATAAAACCCAGGCTGTTACAAAACACCCCGTAAATCGAGGTCAGTCTAAACCTGTGCTGCAGAAGCAGCCCACGTTTCCACAGTCCTCCAAAGACCTACCAGACAGAGGGGCAGCAACTGATGAGAAATTGCAGAATTTTGCTATCGAAAATACTCCAGTGTGCTTTTCTCGGAACTCCTCTCTAAGTTCTCTTAGTGACATTGACCAAGAAAACAACAATAACAAAGAAAATGAACCTCTCAAAGAGGCCGAGCCCCCTGACTCCCAGGGAGAACCCAGTAAACCTCAGGCATCGGGTTACGCACCTAAATCCTTTCACGTTGAAGACACCCCCGTTTGTTTCTCGAGAAACAGTTCTCTCAGTTCTCTAAGCATTGATTCTGAAGACGACCTGTTGCAGGAGTGTATAAGTTCTGCAATGCCAAAAAAGAAAAAGCCTTCAAGACTCAAGGGTGATACTGAAAAGCATAGTCCCAGAAACATGAGCAGCATATTAGCAGAAGACTTAACACTTGATTTGAAAGATATACAGAGACCAGATTCAGAACATGGTTTATCCCCAGATTCAGAAAATTTTGATTGGAAAGCTATTCAGGAAGGTGCAAATTCCATAGTAAGTAGTTTACATCAAGCCGCCGCTGCTGCCTGTTTGTCTAGACAAGCTTCATCCGACTCAGATTCCATCCTTTCACTGAAATCGGGAATCAGTCTGGGGTCACCATTTCATCTTACACCCGACCAAGAGGAAAAACCCTTTACAAGTAATAAGGGCCCACGAATTCTAAAACCCGGGGAGAAGAGTACATTGGAAACTAAAAAGATAGAATCTGAAAATAAAGGAATCAAAGGAGGCAAAAAAGTTTATAAAAGTTTAATTACTGGAAAAATTCGATCTAATTCGGAGGTTTTAAGCCAAATGAAACAGCCCCTTCAAGCAAACATGCCTTCGATCTCTCGAGGCAGGACAATGATTCATATTCCAGGAGTTCGAAACAGCTCTTCAAGTACAAGTCCGGTTTCTAAAAAAGGCCCACCCCTTAAGACTCCAGCCTCCAAAAGTCCCAGTGAGGGTCAGACAGCCACCACTTCTCCTAGAGGAACCAAGCCATCCGTGAAGTCAGAATTAAGCCCTGTGACCAGGCCGGCCCCCCAGCCAGCTGGGGCAAATAAAGGGCCATCTAGATCAGGATCGAGAGATTCCACTCCTTCGAGACCTGCCCAACAGCCATTAAGTAGACCCATGCAGTCTCCAGGGCGGAACTCCATTTCTCCTGGTAGGAATGGAATAAGTCCTCCTAACAAATTATCTCAGTTGCCAAGGACTTCATCCCCTAGTACTGCGTCAACCAAGTCCTCGGGGTCTGGGAAGATGTCCTATACGTCTCCAGGCAGACAGATGAGTCAGCAGAACCTTAGCAAACAAACGGGTTTATCCAAGAATGGCACTAGTATCCCAAGAAGTGAGTCTGCCTCCAAAGGACTGAATCAGATGTGTAATAGCAATGGATCCAACAAAAAGGTGGAACTTTCTAGAATGTCTTCAACTAAATCGAGTGGAAGTGAATCCGATAGGTCAGAGAGACCTGTATTAGTACGCCAGTCAACTTTCATCAAAGAAGCTCCAAGCCCAACCCTAAGGAGAAAATTAGAGGAATCTGCTTCATTTGAATCTCTCTCTCCATCTTCTAGACCAGATTCTCCCACTAGGTCCCAGGCACAGACTCCAGTTTTAAGCCCTTCCCTTCCTGATATGTCTCTATCTGCACATCCGTCCATTCAGTCTGGTGGGTGGCACAAACTCCCACCTAATCTCAGTCCCACCATAGAGTACAATGACGGAAGACCAGCAAAGCGCCATGATATTGCACGCTCCCATTCTGAAAGTCCTTCGAGACTTCCAATTAATAGGTCAGGAACCTGGAAACGGGAGCACAGCAAGCACTCGTCATCCCTTCCTCGAGTAAGCACTTGGAGAAGAACTGGAAGTTCATCCTCCATTCTTTCTGCTTCATCGGAATCCAGTGAAAAAGCAAAAAGTGAGGATGAAAAACACGTGAACTCGATTTCAGGAACCAAACAAACTAAGGAAAACCAAGTATCCACAAAAGGAACATGGAGAAAAATAAAAGAAAATGAGATTTCTCCCACAAATAGTACCTCTCAGACCACTTCCTCAGGTGCTGCAAATGGTGCTGAATCAAAGACTCTAATTTATCAAATGGCACCTGCTGTTTCTAAAACAGAGGATGTTTGGGTGAGAATTGAGGACTGTCCCATTAACAACCCTCGATCCGGGAGATCCCCAACAGGAAACACGCCCCCCGTGATTGACACTGTTTTGGAAAAGGGGAACCCAAACGCTAAAGATGCAAAAGATAATCAGGGAAAACCAAGTGTGGGTAACGGCAGTGGCCCCGTACGCACCGTGGGTTTGGAAAACCGACTGAACTCCTTTATCCAGGTAGAGGCCCCCGACCAGAAGGGAACGGAGGCAAAACCGGGACCGAGTAACCCTGTCCCTGCACCAGAGGCGAACGAGACTTGTGCAGCCGAGCGCACCCCGTTCAGCTCCAGCAGCTCAAGCAAGCACAGTTCCCCCAGCGGGACCGTCGCTGCCAGAGTGACCCCCTTTAATTACAACCCGAGCCCTCGGAAGAGCAGCGCGGACGGCACGTCAGCCCGGCCGTCCCAGATCCCCACGCCAGTGGCCACCGCCACGAAGAAACGGGATTCCAAGACTGACGGCTCCGAGGCCGGCGGAACCCAGAGCCCTAAGCGCCATTCCGGGTCTTACCTCGTGACGTCCGTGTGACAGCCGGGATGGTGGCACTCGGGAAGCTGTCCGTCACAGCCGCTGTGTAGAAATCCTGTTTCAGACGAAACTTTAAAACTGAAAAATTGTGTAAATAGGTTTGATTGTTGGAGGGTTTGTTCTGGAAGCCATATTTGATAGTATCCTTTGTCTTCACTGGTCATATTTTGGGAAGCGCCCTTGGTAGTTAGGAAGAAGGTGGTAAAGCCAAGTATATTTGTACAGTCTGTTTGCCACGTATTTAAGTAGCATCCCTTCCCTCGCCCTTTAATTATTGCTTGTCCTAAAATAATGAACACTACAGATAGAGGGTATGAGATATTGCTGTCCTCAATCATTTCTAGATTATAAACTGACTAAACTGACATCAGGGAGAAATCTGTGTTTATGCAAAAAAACATTCTGTTTTAGTCCTCGTGAGTCCCTCTAACATCACGATTAATCATGTGGCTGTGAAATTCACAGTAATATGGTTCCCGACGAACAAGTTTACCCAGCCTGCTTTGCTTTGCTGCATGAATGAGACTGATGGTTCACCTTCCGAAGTAACGATTAACAGTTCTGTGGTCACATGTGCATAGAGATAGCTGCGTTGTAACACGCTACACTATTTTGTGCTCAAAACAAAAAAAACAAAACAAAAAATCTGTGTCACTGTAAAGCATTGAATGAAACTATTTTACCTGAACTAGATTTTATCTGAAAGTAGGTAGGATTTTGCTATGCTGTAACTTGTTGTATATTCTGGTATTTGAGGTGAGATGGCTGCTCTTTTATTAACGAGACACAAATCGTGTCTCAACAGAAACTAAATGAACATTTCAGAATAAATTATTGCTGTATGTAAACTATTACTGAAATTGGTATTTGTTTGAAGGGTCTTATTTCACGTTTGTATTAATAATTGTCAAAAAGGCCTCTTTTAATAGCTTATATAAAATTTTCTTCAAATTCTATGCATTAAGAGTAAAATTCCTCTTACTGTAATAAAAACAATTGAAGCTAACTGCTGGCACTTAACCGTTCCTGAAACTTACTTTTCATATATGGGTTTAGCTTAGCACTCCCAATAGTTAGTATTTTTTCTTAGTCCACTGGAGTGGATTTAAGACAGATTCGTATACTGGCAGCGTGAGCTACCCAGCGCAGGACCGGACACTGAGCATCATAGATCCACACGGAATGTCTCTTTTTTTCTTAATAGAAAGAATTCTATACTTGAAAAGTTGATTATTCTTCGGTATACGTAGTGTCTTCCGAGGCCGCCCTGGAGTGTAACGTCTTGCCTCTTCGCTTCCCTCTGTCGCCCCTCCCCTGGAAGGAGCCCCTTTTCTCACCCTGTACCTTAGGGCAAAATTCCAGCAGCCAGAGGCCTCAGCCTCAGAAAATACAAATCATGTGGAACCTCGGAGGTAGGTTTAATACCATTAAGGTACTCAGAAGAGCATCTAAAGTCCCCTGGGAGTTGAGGAAGGCTTGGCTGTGGTGGGCAGAGCTGCCGGCCGTGTTCAGGTGCCCCCCCACCCCCCCCAGCGGGAAGGCGTGGACGGCTACAGGCGTCAGCAGGTAATTTATCTTCCTAGAATTCGTCCCGGGTGGCCAGAGGGTGAGAAGGGTAGATGCTCACGTACTTGTTGGGTACGTGATTACATTCCTGCACTCTGCATTTGGCGAAGGGAAGAGAGAGTGGGTGCAGTGGCCACGGGGAAGGGCTCGAGGAGTAAGCGCGTCCCTGCGACGGGGAGCCTCCCTGTCCCTCCCCGGTCCTTACCACTCTGCAAGCACCTCGATTCATGGATCTGTCAACATTTAAATTTTTGCCGTTTTACCTGAATGAGATCATCCGTGAATAATAATAATTTATGTTTTTCTCAAAGGCTGCTTTCTCTAACAGGGATACGTGCATAAAGGTCATATTTATTTCCTCTATTTTTCAGAATTAACTGCATGCCATTTTTTTAGGAGCCCTTCAAATACTTTAATGGAAAGAGATGGGATGTAAGTCAGAATAAAATTGCCTTTTCAAGTAAGAAAAACACCACTATCGATGCTGGAAATGAAAAATAAGGTGCCTTCCACACACCAGAAAACTCAGGAATTTCTGTGGGCCCCCCTCCCTGGGGGGACAGGCCCCACTGCCCACTGGGAAAGTTGTTGGGGACTCGAGGCAGCGTAGCTCTGAATCGGCCAAAGGGCGAATCGCAGCTGTACTTCCAGAAGGTCACCGGGTGCTGCGGAGAGGGACACGCGCGGGCCCAGTGTCGCCCAGCGGCCCGACGGCTTCCCCTTGGCAGCAGGGCCCGAGCACTGGCCCCGTCCGGCGCTGCTGCCTCCCCCGCCGTGGACCTCAAGCTGGTGAGGTGTCCCCGCAGGCCGGCGCCCCGTGTGGACGAGCCTACCCGACGGGGGTCGATTGCAAAGACGGACTTTTTGAGACATTGGTTGATGTTCAGACTCGGGACAGTTACTGCAAAGGCAAATTTCAGCAAACGCCTAAACCAGTAATTCTGTCCTCAGAATCAATTCAGATGAAAATGCGCCTGATTTGCTGATACGCAGTGGGACTAAGAACCAATTAACTGTGGCATAAACTTTCCAAGTTACCTGAGTACTAAAGGGAAAGTCAGTGACAGGGAAGTAAAGATAAGCCCAAACGGAACAGAAAGTACGTTAAAATATTTTTTTCCATAAAATATAGAGCATGTTACCCCAAGGTTAAGTGAGGACGATGCTCTTGCTGAGGATGGCAGCCAGCTGCACATCTGAATTTATCATGTAGTTTCTTTGTATCTAAAATAGGAAAAGAACAGCAGCGCGCCAGAAACGCAAAAAGGAAACTGCTGAGAGCTGGAGTATTTGAGTAGTCAGATCATCAAAATTTACCAAATAGAAATGATTTTTCAAAAGTCACGGTGGTTGAAATAGAGTATATAAATTATTTTTAAACTTCTAATTCCCTCGTACTACACGGACCTTAAAATACTATGTAATGTCACAAACTATGGACTGTACCTCCTGTAAACACTAGGTTGTTTTCCTGCCCTTCTCCGGTGGTGTGGGCTATGAAACTAGATCCCGGTGTATGTTAGGCCATTGATGCTTCTTCCAACCTTGTGTGCTCTGTGTGTGATATTGTTCTTGGTGCTAAATACACTTGCTTTCTTCTGATATTCAGGATAATTCTCTACATTTGTGACTACTCACTCATTTTCCTAAGTTATGTGATTTTTACTTTAATTAAAAATACTCAACATCGTGTATACTGGTGAAGGGGACCGTTAACATAAAGCAGCACTAGTGAAGAATAACTGTTAGGAGCGAGGCCAAGCACTACCTGGTCCCCCTACACCTCCCTTCGGCATCTAACCAGCCCCACGGTTGGTCGCTGATCCGTGCGCCCGGGCTTTCCGGACATGCCTGCTGGCACCTTGACACGGCAGAGATTCATCGCCAACTAGCTGGTGACCAAAGACTTGCCTGGCTTAAAAAAAAAAAAAAAAAAAAAAAAAAAAAAAAAAAACAATCAACCTGAAATAAGAGTCAACCTGAAATAGAGTCCCAAAGGAAACTTCTGGTTGGAGATTGAGTGCTGGAACTGAACGATTTTTGTAGCATTAGGCTGAGTTGAAGAACTCAGTTAGACACACCTCCGGTTCTTAATTTCAAAGAGAAAACTTTTCTGAAAACATCTGTGGGGAATAGGCTGCCAAAAAAAAAAAAAAAATCAGGTTGGTATCAGCTTTGCCTGCAAAAAAGCAAAACAATGGAACCATATGTACAGTGTTTGGAAGGGACTTGGAGGTGCCACCTGAGTGCCGCGAGCAACCGAAGTAACACTTGGTTCACCTGCAACAGCTGCACCCCTGGGACCTTGCAGCCGTCACAGCCGCTCAGCGCTCGCAGGACGCAGGAGGCCGCAGAGGCTCACGGGCAGGCTGGACCAGGGAGGGACGAGCCCGTGCGGCTGGCTCGGCTGGTGCCAGGCTGGGGACGGGGAACGGGGCTGCTCTGACTTGTTTCCCCCGAGGAAGGGTCTTATGGTCTGGAACGCTCCAAGTCCCCAAGCAGCCTTCCGAAGCAGCGAGCAACCAGATGCCACGAAAACTTCCTGCTGCCCAAACGATTAAATGTTAAAGTACTAAGGAAACAAAGTTTGAGCAATAAAACTTTTAAAGGTGAATAAATATGTTAATGATTGTGATTAATCTGATCATCACAGCGTGAATGTCTACATAACTGAAAACTGAAAAGATGAAATGTTTGATAATTTTCATGATCTTAAATTCCAGAGTATTCTAACCCAAATTGGAAAATGAGTTACGAGGGGAGGAAAGATGTAAAAGTATGCTAAATTTCTAGTTTTATTTGGCAGTGTCAATAATGTTTTAACTTAAATAAAAAGCAAAACTTCAATTATTTAGTTTAATGGTAACCCCAAAGTTAAAAAATAAAATTTTCCACCTAATTCACTAGCCAAAGACAACAATTCAGAATGCTTGGTGGAGATATCAAAGAACGGGAGAAATAAAGGGAGAATTAGCCACAAAGAAGCATAGCATGACACAGTAATACCACGGAAAAATGGATTAAACATATATAATAAAATAATGACTCTCAGATTGGAATCAAATAGGGTCCTCCAGCCGCACTACTGTTCCTAAAAGACACACTGCAATGATCCAGAACGGCCAAAACTAAAAGTACAACCACACTTGCAGAGACGAATGCAAAGAAAGCAGTTAAGGCAAACTTATGTCCGTCCCGACTGGGGACAAGGCATCCGGCATCATGAAGAAGGGGATGAACATCGCAACGGTCCTTACCTCTCAAATGACTTAGCATCAAACACATGAATCAAAATTACAAAGTATTAACAAAATCTGGGGAACAAGGGAGCCCCGGTGTTTGACAGAGGACTCGGTCCTTACAAAACAAAAGGAGCCGTTTTTACTTGAAGCCGCAAGCTCCCTCCAGACACCAGGCCTTTGCTCAAGGAAGGTTCTCGAGGTCCTTGCTGTGGCAACGGTGTGGCCGGCTGCTGGGCCACAAAGCCAAGCCGGGCACTGAGGGCGGGAGGCACAGGAGAGGTCACCGGCCTGCTGGAGGGAGGCAAGGTCGGGGGACTTGGGACACCCATGAGGACGAAGGACAAGGAGCCCGCAGAAGGGGCGGTTGCGGTCCCGAGAAACTGGAGGTGCAGCGGCGACGGCACTTTAGAAGCAGGCTGTTGGGGCTGGAAGCCTACGTGCTTGGCGAGTCCGGCTCCAGGATCCACATGCTCCCCTGGCTCTGATTCGCAGGATCCTAACACTCGCGGTTCGCTTCACCGTCATGTTCTCCTCCGTTTTCAGGGTTTACCAAGTAGCTGGAAGTGTCCACGCGGCTCCTTGGCCGCCTCGCTGCTCCGTCCCCAGCCCCGTGGGCTCCCACAGCTTGGCTTCAGCGCCGCGTCCCTGCAGCCACCTGTCCCTGGTGAAGCAGGTGGGGACCACCTTCTAAGTCCGACAGCTGGGTTAAAATGGTTTTCTTGGGGCGCCCGGGGGGCTCGAGCCATTAAGCATCCGACTTCGGCTCAGGTCATGACTCGGGCTCCTGGGACGATCCCCGAGTTGGTGTCGCCACTCAGCGAGGAGCCTGCTCATCCCCGTCACTCTGCGCGTCCTCCTCCCCGCGCTCGTGTGCACGTGTGTGTGCGCTCACTCGCTCGCATAAATCATTAAAGTCTGTAAAAATCCTGGTTTGCCATTACACCAAGGATAACTGGGGTCACAACCCCGCTCACAACCCGTCCGTGTGCGCTGTGGCTAACAAGCTCAAGTAGGAGTCCAGGTGTTTCCGTTGCACACAACTTCCACTTCCCATCTTGGTGTTCGTAGGGTTTTACATTTGTCCTTGGAATACAGGAATGGCACCGGCCTGGGTCCAGCTCGGTCTTTCTTCCATGACTCTGACTTGATCGCAAGCCTTTTGGCCCCGAGTCTTCGGGCCGGTCAATGTTCTCCTGTGACCCACGTTCCTGCCGCTGCGCCGGCGTCGCCGCCTCTGTCACCTTGCAGGAGCAGAAACCACGCCGTGATACTGTCCCGACACCCATCTGGATCAGCTGTCTGTCCCTGGAGGCGACCCCGGAGCGGCGCGCGTGGCCGGCTGTCGGGAGCCACTCGGGTCCACACGCTGCGCTGCGATCCTCTACAAACGGAAGCAGCGCCCGTCGCGGCTTGTGCGCAAAGCCTTAAGGGACTGTCAATGAGACAGTTTCATTAAAGGGGATTTTCCTTCGAGGCTACTGGCCCGGCCCGGCTACAGACGCTGCGCCAACGGGCTGACGCCTCAGCAGCGTGTCGTGCCGCCCCCTGGTGCTGGGAGCTCGGTGACCGGGCCGGTCGCTGACCCCGGCGCTCGCGTACCCGGGCCAAACCCTGTCCCCCGCAGGAGTGACCTCCGGGATCCTGACGGCTCGGCTCCGATAAGCGGCGGGACTTTAACTTCAGTCCCTGCCTCGGCCTCAGGGTTGGGAGTTCGGGCCCCGCGGCGAGCGCCTCGCTGGGCGTGCAGCCTATCTGAAAAGAAAAAATAGAAAACTGTGACTTCTGATTCTCTGGTAGGAATATCTTCAAAGATGACACAGTTGGGCCGTCCCCATCCCTGTCCCCGAGCTGCGTCACAGGACACACGAGCTGACGCGGGCGCCGGGAAGGTTGGGTGGCCTCCCCGGGATCCGCAGCCGCGGCCACGGGCCCCGAGGCACGCACAGGGAGGGAGGACCCGGGTCACACATGTGGGTGACCGGGTAACGGGGTGCACGGCCCACCTACCGCGAAGCCCGACGCCCTGTGTCACTGACCCGGCCGGGATGCCTGTGCAGCTCTGCGGCCGTGTCCCCGGGACAGGCCTGCAGGCCGCTCCGCACCCGCCTTCACCCGGGGCAGGGAGCCTGGGCCCTGACCTGGGCCCATCCCCCACCCCCGCCCTGACCTGGGCCCGCTGCTGCCCGCCGCCCGCCCTCCTGCCCCTTGGTGCCCTCCCAGAGCCACGGCGACCCACGGCCCACGCCTCTGGGACCCGCACCAGCACCCGACGCAGCAGGCTCCCTGGGCGCCGGCCCGCGGGCGACACATGGCAGCGAGGCCCAGGGCCCAGCGCTGCGAGCATCGCTCCGAGGCCGGTCGTGGAGGCCACCGCCGGGGGCTTGGTGGTTATTCATTTGAGAGACGGAGGGAGAGAGACAGAAATGGAGAGACAGAGAGGGAAAGACACAGAGACAGAGAGAGACAGAGACGGAGAGGGAGAGACAGGGAGAGAGACAGAGACGGAGAGAGACAGATAGATGGAGAGTGACGGAGAGAGAGAGGGAGAGAGACAAGGAGACACAAATGGAGACAGAGAGGAAGAGACAGAGAGATGGAGAGAGACACGGAGAGACAGAGACAGACAAAGGGAGAGGCAGAGAGAGAGACAGGGAGTGAGCACGGGAAGGAAGAGCCCGGGACACCAGGAAGAGCGGTGGCCACCAGGACGCTGGCACCAGGCCCCAGGCTGAGGCAGGCATGTCACCACCTGGAGCGGCCGCGCACTGAGGCGCAGACTCGGGGAGGCTCCGCGGGGCCGGGCACCACCCTAACCGCAGCCCTGTGGGGAAACCAGGCTTTTACAGCCTGCGCGTCCCCACGTCCCCACGTCACCGGCCCGTCACACCCTAAGGCCACCAACAGGCTGAGGCCGGCAGGAGCCGCACCGCAGTGCCCGAGGCCCCTCGCCAGCGACACACGGGACCACAGGCACCTTGTGACCTCGATCTGCATCCCGAACATTTGTTGCAGTGGCTGCAGCAGCTTCTCCAAGTGTCCTTGGACGCAACGGAGACATCAGGCCACTTGCAGCACGGACGTCATCACTTCTTTAAGACAATATTTCTTTACTCATGAGACACAGAGCGAGGCAGGGACCCAGGCGAGGGAGAAGCAGGCTCCCCACGGGCACCCCACGCGGACTCGATCCCGGGGCCCGGGGTCACGCCCTGGCCGAGCACACACTCAGCCGGGCGTGCCCCCTCGCCCTGACCTGTGGGAGCGCGGCCCCTGCCGGACACCGCCCCCGGCGCTTCCCTCTCTTCCTCCTGCTTTCAGGTCTCACGCGACGTTCTTGGAAAACGTCCCCCTCGGTCCCCGCCCCGAGTCTCGAGCGCCGGTAAGGGAAGGAGGCCCTTTGCAAACCCGGCCCGATTCCCGAAGGCCCCGCATCACCTTCCGTTCTCCGGTCCGACCTCTCGCCCCGAAACGACCTCCGCGGCCTCTGTGCTCCCGCGGCACGTACAGCAAGAGGCCGCGCCAATGCCCGGTGCACCTGTTCCACCTGCGCTCGGGGACCAGCACCCGCGGGGCCGCTCCCAGCCTCACCTAAGGTGCAGGGTCGGGGCGAGGCCGGGGCTTGCTCGGGCAGCGCCCTCAGGTGTGTGCAGAGCCTACCTACTCCACGGGCGAGCGCAGCCCCCCGGGGGGCAGCGCCCTAACCCTGACCCCGACGCGCGGCCCGTCACGCGGCGCGGTGCTCCCGCCCCCGGGCCCCCCCACCCGGGCCGCCGATCCTGCACCGCGCAGGTGCGCCCCGGACGCTCCCAGGTGCAGCACACCTGCCCCGCACGTTCCGGCGATGCGCACCGGCGCCCGGGGCGTGGGGACTTGAGCGCCGGCGGCCCCCGAGCTGACCCCGCGCCGCGGCCGCCCCGAGGGTGGGCGGAGCCCGCGGCCGGCAGCTCGGCGCGGACACGCCCCGGGGGGACAGCGGGAGGGGCTGGGCAGCCTCTCGCGAGAGCGGGCGCGCGGACGCCACGTCACAACTGGGGGCGCGGGCGCTGAGCGACAGGTGCCTCGGCCGCCTAGCGGGCGGCGGGCGGCGGGCGGCGGGCGGGACTTCCGCCGGAAGCCGGGGTGGTCCCGACCCTCTCCGCGCGCGCTTCCGGCCCGCGCGCCCCGGTCCCCGGCAGAGATGGCGTGCGCCGCCGCGCGGTCCCCGGCCGAGCAGGACAGGTGGGTCCCGGGGTCCTGCGCGCCGCTCCCGCCCCGCCCCCGCCCCCCCGGGCCCGAGGCGTGGCGAGTCCGCGGCCCTGGGGTCTCGGGGGCTCGCCGCGCGGAGCGGCCCCGGCGGCCCGGCCTGGTGGCTGCCGACCCGGGGCCTGGCCGCCCGGCGAGCTGCGCGGGCCCAGGAGGTGGTTTCCGTCCCAGGCGGTGGAGCGGGAGGGGGACGACCCGGAGGGCAACGGCGTCCGCGGGGACCGGGCGCCGGCGACCCCGACGCCGCGGGTGTGGACGCCGCCGTGCTTCCTCCGCAGGTTCATCTGCATCTACCCCGCGTACCTGAACAACAAGAAGACCATCGCCGAGGGCCGGCGCATCCCCATCAGCAAGGTGAGGGCGGCCTGCGCCTGCGGGCCCCTCCCTGCGTCGCCCGGCCTGGCGGGGCTGTGGGGGCCGGAGCCCGACGAGCCCGCGCGGCAGGGGTCGGCAGGCGGTTGGCTGCGGGCTGCCCGGCCCCCGGCGGAGGACACCGCGCGGCAGCATCGTGCCCGGGGGCACTCGGGTCACGGAGCCAGACCCGCAGAGAGCTTCTTTTCCTGAGGAGAGAGTAAGGGGGCGGGGGGTGCGGGGAGAGACCCCCCAGCAGGCTCCCTGCTGCGCGGCCCCGCATGGGCTGCACCCCGCCGCCCGGAGACCGCAGGCTGAGCCGGAGTCAACCAACCGTCCGATGCCACCAGGTGCCCCGAGACGTGCAGAGCTTAGATCTGTTGACATGATTTTACGGTTTTATGTCTCTTGTCTGTTGTGTGGTTTTTTTTTTTTTTTTTTTGGAGGGGTAAAGGTTAAAATTAATACTTATAAAAAGTAGGGTGTCACAGTTTTGAATAATAGGATTTCTCCCTTGCGCTGTTTGGATGGGAAAATTCAAGTTCTCAGTTGGCCTGCTGGCCTGTGTGCAAGTGCCTAATGCCAAGTGATGGGGCTTTGTAGCTGCTGCTCTTTTTTTTTTTTAAGATTTTATGTATTTATTCCTGAGAGACACAGGCAGAGGGAGAAGCAGGCTCCACGCAGGGAGCCCGACGCGGGACTCGATCCCGGGATCTCCGGGTCACACCCTGGGCTGAAGGTGGAGCTAAACCGCTGAGCCAACCGTGCTGCCCACTTCTTACTTTCAAAATTAATGTCATGTTGCTTTTTAAGAGTTGCTTAGATTTTGTAATCTAACAACAGATCCGAGGCAACTTGGCCTGAAGCAACGCGCTATTTTCGTGTTAATGTCTCCTGTTTTGCTACTTAAATGCGAAGGGAAATGTGCTCTGCTGCCCCGGGTGGGAGAGCCACCAGGGCCCTGAGCCAGGGTAGTGCCCAACGTCAACCCCCATGACGGGCCTCTGCCAGCCAGCTCTCACGTATTTTGGAGAATAACTGACTTGGTTTTAACTGCATTGATGTACAGCGTACATACAGGTGTGTGTCTTGATTAACTTTTACAGACTGAATACACACGGGTAACCAGGTACCCAGATTAAAAAAAGAACGTGATTGGTACCCAGGAAGATTGCTCTGCCTCCTCCAGTCACTTCTCACGCCACATGTACTCCCAAACGGGGATAGCCACTGTCCTAACTTCCAACACAATACATTACTTTTCCTTGTTTTTGAATTTTATGTAAAAGGCGTTGTACACTATGTATTTCAGTGTCTGTCTTTTTTCACCAAACTTTAAGCTTAAATTTGTTCACGTTTATTAGTGTGGCTTATTAATTCCCATTGCTCTGTAGCAGGGTTTCTCAGCAGCAGCACCACTGACATCTTGAGCCAGATTAGTCTTCGTTATGGGGTCTGGTCTGTGCATCTTAGGTTGTTGAGCAGCATCTTTGGCCTCTACCCACTAGATGCCAGTGCCTTCCCTGACTCCTGTGACAAGTAAAAAACGTCTCGTAGCATTGCTAAATGTCATGGGGCAAAAATGCCTTGCTGAAAACCACTGCTCTTTAGTGCTGAATTGTATCAGCGTATCACAGCCCATTCTACGGTTGATAGATAACCGGGTGGTTTCTAATTTGAGGCTATTATACATACCCGTGCTTTCAACATTCTTGAGCTTGTCTTCTACAGAACATGTTTTTTATCCTTGGATGCGTACCTAAAAGTAGAATTGCACAGCCATAAAGAATGCACGTGTTTAGCTTTAGTGGATACTACCAAACAATTTTCTTACGTGGTGGTACCTGTAATAGTTTGATCAGTATTCATTGAGCACCTACTATGTTCCAAACATCACGCCAGATACTTGGGAATCTACTGATAAACCAAACCGGCCCTGCCTTTGTGATGTTCATGTTCTGTTAGAAGGGAGATGGACACACAGTGTGAAATCAGTGTTATTCCTGCAATATTAAAAATTACAGTGGAAACAGCAGTCTAAGGTTTTGGTAAGTGTTGTGATCCTCATGTTTGAAATGATTTACGCAACAATATAGCAGCATCTACTTAAGGTTAGCTGTTGAGTGTTGTTGTTTTTAACTGTTCAGGCTGTTGAAAATCCTACAGCTACTGAGATTCAAGATGTGTGCTCAGCAGTCGGACTTAATGTATTCCTTGAGGTAAGAGGTGGTTCTTCCTTCACTATTTTTCCTACTTAGTCTCACTGGTGTAACAACTTTTTAAAGCCTGTTTTTTGTGTATGTTTTGTTTTGTTTTGTTTATGTTAGAAAAATAAAATGTACTCTAGAGAGTGGAATCGTGATGTTCAGTACAGGGGCAGAGTCCGGGTCCAACTCAAGCAGGAAGACGGCAGCCTCTGTCTCGTACAGTTCCCATCACGTAAGCTTTTTTTAATGAACGAATAAAGTCTGGGGACAGGTTATTCCTCTACTCTGCAAAAAAGGTTCCAAAACTGACCTTTTAAAAGGTAACGTAATTTGCGTTCTGCAGGTGAATTTAAGAAAGGACTACTGCTGAGATAAAGGAAAACAGTGGCTCTTGCTTTTAAATAAAGGACCTCTGAGAATGTGATCAAACCTACTGATCGTTTCTCAAAATTTGTTTTATGAACTTTTTATAAACCTCTGGAAATCTGTCATTATTCCCAGGTTAAGAATGTAAGATTACTGAATGGTCAGATGTTAACTGCCGTTTCAGATCCTGGAGGCCTTTGAGGTCTGTTAATAATTTCTGTCATTAATCTAAAAAGCCATACTGAGTTAAAACAGCAAAAGAAATGCATGGTGTGATACCACTGTGGTACATTTAAAGACAAAATGTTACTGTTTATTTACATGTATATATAAAATGCTGTTTATTGATATTGTATATGTAAATTTTTTAAATGGACTGAAAGAAAACCCCGGTCTTAAAATAGAAGGTAACCTAATGATGAGCAGGGGGTGGGAAGTGGGGTCACAGTGATGGTGGTTAGAGAAGACTAATATTCTCTCTATAGTGTTTTCTTTATTTATTTTTTTGAAGATTTATTTGTTTGACAGCACAAAGCAAGGGGAGCAGCAGGTAGAGGCAGAGGGAGAAACAGGCTCCCCGTGGAATAGGAGCCTGATGTGGGGCTTGATCCCAGGGCCCTGGGATCATGACCCAAGCCGAAGGCAAATGCTCAACCAGCTGAGCCACCCAGGCACCCCTCTAGTGTTTTATGTCTTTTAAAAAAAAAAAAAAACTAAACAGAACTGGACATCAATATTCCAAAATAACTATGAGTTTTGAGAAGATGAATCTTTTTTTTTTTTTGCACGTAATTCTTCTCTGAATTCTTTATTTCTAAAAAATTTAACTTCTTAAATGGAGCTGTTAATTTTTTTCTTGTCACAATAACCTCAAACTGACAATTAAATGACTTTTAGTTTAATTAAAATAGATTGGGGTTTTTTTGTGCTAAAACCTGTCCAGATAGTTAGATACTTCTAAAAACAGGATTCTGACTCTGTAATAACAGATAGTATATTCTAGTATATTTCTACTCTTTGACATCTTCCTTTAGTATCTCTTAAAAATCAAACGACAGGTGAACTTGGGTTTCTCAGTTCGTTAAGCATCTGCCTTCAGCCCAGGTCATGATTCCAGGATCGTGCTCAATGGGGAGCCTGCCTCTCCCTCTACCCCTCTCTCTAGCTCATGCTCACTCTCGCTCACTCTCTGAAATGTAATCTTTTTTAAAAAATGCGAAAGACAACAATCAAGAGACAAAAAAACTTTTGACCAGTAAATAAAATATAAGTAAAAATTACAGTTGAAAAATGTTGCTGTGTCCAATAAGAAAAAGAGAAAGAGTTGAGGGGCTCAGAGTGTGGAAAAGTAGCTACTAGATCTGGAGGAGGTAGTTGGTGCACAGAGCAGGGTACCCGTGCACAATAAATCATCTGGGTGCATGAGTAACATCTTTTGTTGCTGGATGACTTTGGGTTTTTGTTACAAGATTGAGAGGCTGCATGTTCCTTTAGCTTAAAATCAATGATACCATGTCTCTGGTTCCAAATTGTTGTATTTCAACTTCTTTGATCTTCAAGTCAACTACTAGAACCAGGACCAAGATTTGCATTTCAAATAAAATGTTTAAAATTTTTATTTTGTTCAGTTTAATATTTCAGTATTGTTCTTAGCACATTTTCTCCAGGAAAGCTCCCACTTGAGTAAGTCCTGTCTTTATATATATATATTTTTTTAATCTGTCATTTTCCTCATGTGGTGACAGTTTCTTTATGATTTTCAGATTAATGAGCTTATAGGTCTTAGTCCTTAGAGTATATACTAAGCCTAACTTCTTGTTCCCAGGTAAGTCAGTAATGTTGTATGCAGCAGAAATGATACCTAAACTAAAAACAAGAACACAAAAAACAGGAGGTGGGGACCAAAGTCTTCAGCAAGGAGAGGGAAGTAAAAAAGGAAAAGGAAAGAAGAAGAAGTGACCGCGTATGGGAGCCACATCTGGTACTACTGAGAGAGACCATGAACGAAGGCTTCTAATTTAAGAGAAACAGAAGCTTTTTATTTGCATCATTTAACCGAACTATGGACATCTCTGCCCCTCAGCTTCAGCATCAGAGTTGACAGTGAAGTAAATTTGCATCAGAACTCTGCATCTAGCCTCTTACGCAGTATAAAAGAAAATTTTGTTTGCTTTTCAACGCAGTTTTTGTGGAAGAAAGAAGCATACTTTTAAATGGACAGTGAACTCTACCATAAGTTACTTGAAATCCTGTATCTGTCCTGTGTGTAAACATGTTTTAGATAAATGAGTTTAATTAAAGATTCGAAATACACATTTTCTTCAACATATTCTTTCTTTCACATATTCTTCAAATAAAATTTGAAACTGACTTTTGTAGCTTTTGCTCCTTTGCTTGTGAATCAATGCCAGTAGAGGAAATAATTTAAGAGAATAAATGGGTAGTGGAAGCTTAGTGTGAGCTTAAAACTAGAAGAAAATGGTTAAATCCTCTTGGACCTTTATGAACAGCCAGCCAGTCTATAGCTCCTATTATTTTAATCATTTGTCATAATTGAATGTTCAATTGCTAGTTTTTTTGATGTATGGAAAGTCCTGGATTTTAAGCTTTAGATTTGCTTACTTTGTAGGTTTAAGAACATTATTTTAATTGGAATTCTAAAATTATCCACACTTTAACACCTTGATATGTACTTTTTTTTTTTTTTTTCTTCAAGAAACTGAATTGGATTGGTGATTCTGCCTTTATTCCAAAGCACGGTTTCTGAAAGTGGTAGTTTTGTGAAAGTTCCCATCCAGCCATTTGTCTGCTGAGTGTCATTTGGGGAACTGCCTTCTCTGACTCCATATGCTTCTGGAAGGGCTGTTAATTACAGGGCTGCCTCTTGAACACAGAGTATGACCCCAGCCAGGCCAATGCTTTATTTCTCAGGAATTTAAATCTGGATCAGAAACATGGACATACAGGTGATGGCAGCTAACATACGTAATGGTCTACAAATATCTAAGTTCTTGAGGCTCTTCTGTGAATTCTATGAATTGTACGTTATATCCTTCTAGTAAATCCCATTTTCTGTAAGTTTTTATTGCTTGAGAAATTCCACTTGATTACAAAGAAAGTGAACCCAGAGTTTTAGATGGACTTACCCAAGTTTTATGAAGATGATCCAGGACATGTAAGGAGAGATACTAGAGTCTTTACTTCTTTTTCCTCTAATAATTTGTGTTGTTAACATGTCTTAGAGTGAACATAATAGTATAGCAGTTTATATATTTGACTTAAAAATATTGGGGCAGTATCCAAGCAGCCCTCTAGAAAATGTATCACTTATGAATATGTTTGTGTAACAAAACAATGAGGATCTTAAGCAGGAATTATTTTTTTGGGAAAAGCCTGAAATCCAAAGGTTGTTATGAATGTTCAGCTGCTCAGTGATGCTCTCTCCTTTATTTCCATTCCACTATCCATGGTTTCCAGCATCCCTAGGATTGTTGTCTCAAGTTTATAACAGGACTGATGGAGCATCAAATGTCACATCAGAGTTGAAGGCAGAATGAAAAGATAACTGTGCCAGCCACTTTGCCTCCCCCCTTAAAAGGAAAGCTAAAGATTTCTCGAAATCCCTCCCAGCCAACTTTCATGAAGTCCCATTGTGGAGAACTGTGGCTCAGGTCCATCTTCAGCTGCAAGAGGTGCCAGGGGAGGGACTATATGGCTTTTTCAGTAATGAAAATAGAGGCCAAGGAAGAAAGTTGAGACTGGGTATTGGGGGCAGTCACCTTAAAAATTTGTCACAGAAAGATGAGTCTAAAATTACTTTGGTTATGGGGCAGTGAAGGTTGTCAGAAAAGGTTTCAGAACTCTTGCTGCAACATTGTGTTGCTGTTTCTTCACAGTTGGATTCAGTGCATAATTGAACCTTTCTTAGTCAAGTCAAAAATACAATCTTTTCTAGTGAACAAGACTGAGCATTTAGTCATGTTTAAATGCCATTTGTATTCATTTCAGTGATTTCTATTCACATCCTTTGCCTACTTTTTAAGAACTCTATTACCAATATGATACATAATTTAAAGGGCCAGCTAGTTTTAATAATTTCAGTTTTGGGCATTAACTTACATCTATAGAAGAGGGTGCTTTAGTTTTCCTTCCTTCACCCCTAATGTATACTTCCCATCCTCCCTCCTAACAATAAATTTATTTTAATCACTATTCATAGTTTATCCTGTATTTCATTCATAGCTGTACTTTGCTACTCAAAAGTATGGTCAGGGGCCCAGCAGCACTGGTCTCCCCTGTGCTGTGAAAGGAGATTGTGAAAAATGCAGAAACTCTGGCCCCCAGCCCAGAATTTAAAAGATTCCCTACGTACAACTATGCACATTAAAGTGAGAAACACTGAAGTATGCTATTGTTTTTGTTTTCTGGATTTGTGTTTTCCTCAGATTTTAAAATTCATTCATAAATTATCAGTTATCAAAATGTCCTTTCAAAACGTTTGTTCACCACCTGGGCGCTGCAGTTAAGCATCTGACTCTTGATCTCAGCTGAGGTCATGATCTCAGGGTCATGGGAGCGATCGAGCCCCGACTCAGGCTGCGAGCTCAGCATGGAGTCTGCTTGAGATTCTCACTCTCCTCTGCCCCTCCGCTTGTGATCTCTCTCAAATCTTTTTATAAAAAAGTTTGTTCAAGGGCACCTGGGTGGCTCAGTCTGTTGGGCATCTGATTCTTGATCTCAGCTCAGGTCTTGGTTTCAAGGTCTTGAGTAAGCCCCGTGTTGGGCTCCATGCTGGGTGTGGAGATAAGTAAGTATGTAAGTACCTAACTGTTCACATCGGATAGTTTAATTTCACCTTTTTAAAGAAGTTTCTTCTGGAACCTTTTACCTGGCTCTAGTCTCTACCTATTACCCTGTAGGCCTAGTGCACAGCTTCACTCTGGGTTCTCTTCAGTGACTTGCTTTACTACTTTGCTGTTTTGTACATCCTGTATTATGATATCCTATGCATTCTTCCTTGGGTCACTTGTTTGGAGCCCATCTTCCAGATCTTCCTGGGGAAAACGCAAGGGAGAGATAAATGTCCTTAGAGCTCGTACAAAAGTGTCATGATTCTACCCCCACACAGATTGGCTAAGTATAGAATTAGAATTGGAAATCATTTTATTTCAGAAGTTCAAGGACATTTCTTCATGGTCTTCTAATGTTACAGCTGCAGGGAAGTCTAAGCCATTGTAGTTCATGATCTTTTGTCACCCACATTTTTCTTGTTGAAACTAACCACATCTCGGTATTCTAAAATATCACAATTGTGTGCTTTGTGTGGGCCCTTTCGTTGTCTATTGTACTGGGTACCTGATGGACCCTTTCAATTTGGAAACTTGTATTCTTCAGTTCTGGGAATTTTCTTGAAAATTTCATCAATGGTTTTTCTACCATTTCTGATCTTGGGACTCCTTATTTGGATATTAGATGTGTTGGACTGTTTCGTAGTTTTCTCATTTTTTTTTTCCATTTCCATTTCTTTGCTTATTTATGTTCTATCTCCTAGAATTCCTTAGCTCTTCCAGCCCCTCTGTTGAACTTCTCATTTTTCTTGTATTTTCAACTTCTCCAAGCTCTCGTCATCTGAATATTTCCTTTTTCTAGCATTTTTTTAAAAAGATTTATTTATGTATTTGAAAGAAAGCACAAGCTGGAGGAGGAGAAGGAGAGAGAATCTGAAGCAGACTCTATACTGACCATCAAGCCAACCCGGGACTCAGTTCCACAACCCTGAGATAATGACCTGAGCCAAAACCGAGAGTCAGACACTCAACTGAGCCACCTAGGTGACCTGATTTCTGTTAATTCATAGGTGTAATCCTTATTTCTCAAAAGATATGGTTCATATTTTTTTATTTCCAGTTTCCTTTTTTGTTTAATTTTGATTCCTGATAGGTTGCTTTCCTTAGACTCACGAGTTTTTTGGTTTTATATTGCTTTACACTGATGGCTAAATTTAAGAGTAAAAAACATAAAAGTTGACATTCTGAGCACATAAGGGGTTTGTAGACTGTCTCCCTAGAGGGGTATCTGGCTCCAATATCCTTTTAGGGAAAATTTCCAAGATCAGAAATGTTGCCTCAGCCTGATCTGTTCCCTAGAGGAGTCCGGCAAGCTTCCAGGAGGGTAAGGGTCTGGGAGCCCAGTGGGGGAAGATGGGGCGAAATGGGTCTCAGCGATGAATCACTCAGTCCTGCTTTTAATACAATTTCCCTCCCTTGACTCTTCCTAGGTCCTCCCACTCTAAAAGTACTCACTGTCTCTGGAGGACAAACTGCCAGTCTTCCACTTGGAAGAGGATAGGTATTTCTTCATTTTTTTTTTTTTAAGTTCCCTCCCAATATTAAGATTTCTCAATGGAGTTATTTGGATTTTGGGGACCTTTTTTTTTTTTTTTAAGATTTTATGTATTTGTTCATGAGAGACACAGAGAGAGGCAGAGAAGCAGGCTCCCTGAGGGGGAAGCCCGATGTGGGACTCGATCCTGGGACTCTGGAATCACGCCCTGAGTCGAAGGCATATGCTCAACCGGTGAGCCCCCCAGGTGCCCCAAGATTTTGGGGACTTTATAATGAAGTTTCTGTACCAGAGATTAGAGATTAGGTGTGGTAGGCTGGATAATGTTGTCCACCTCCCCCCACCCAAAAAAAAAAAACCCTTTGTAAATATTACCTTCCATGGCAAAAGGCCTTGCAGATGTGAAGTATCTTCAGCTGGAGAATGTAGCCTGCTAGGATCCTTCTAAAAGGCCAAAGTTGCAGGACTAAGGGGCCACAGGCCAATGAATGCGAGCAGCTTCCAGCTGAAGGAAATAAGGGGAGAAAAGATTCTCCCCCTATAGTCTCCAAAAGGAACGCAGCCCTGCACACTTTTTTGATGTCTCACCTCCAGAACGGTAAGCTACTAAGTGTCTACTGTTTTGAGCTATTATACTTGTGGCAATGTGTTAGAGCAACATCAGGAAGCACACGCCTGGTGAACTAATGAGCTAAGACAAACTCTCCAGACCTTGGGATTCTTGACCTCGTTAGTGTGTGTGAGCTCTCAACCCTAGCTACAGACTAGAATCACCCTAGAGCTTTAGTTTTTTTTTTTTTTTTTAAGATGATTTATTTGACACAGTTTGAGCATGCACAAGGAGGGGGAGAAGCAGCGGGAGGAGCAGTCTCTCCGCTGAATAGGAAGCTCGACATGTGGCTCCACCCCAGGACCCTGGGATTGTCACCCAAGCTGAAGGCAGACGCGTAACTCCTTGAGCCATCCAGGCGGCCCTCATCCTAGAGCTGTAAAAGCATAATGATGCCTGGGTATATAGTAGATTAGTCAGAATTTCTGGTAGTGGGAGCAGATACCAGCATTTTTGGAAAGTTTCTCAAGCGACTGTAATTGCAGCCAGAGCTAAACCACTGTCTACTAAGTAAAGACAGCATTTACCCAACCCAGTGGTTCTACCTCTAAGTGTGGTTCCTGGACCATCTGCATTGTCTAGGAATTTATTGGAAATTGCAAATTTTCAGTCTACCCGAGACCTACTGAATCAGAAATTCTGGGGGATGGGATCGCCAATCAGTTGTAACAATCCCCTCCCCCACAGAGAAAATGCAGCGCACACTCCAGTTTGAAAACCAATGATTTAAACAAAGAACCTCCTTATTGCTCTTAATCCTGAGGTTTATAAGATTTTATAAGCTAATATTGCCAGTAAAATGTATAAGGTCACTCTCACATATATTTACTTTCCCACTGTACTACATAGAACTTAATACGGGATGGCTAAGGATGTGAACTCTGAGAGACACCACGATTCTAGGTATACAGACGTGTAAAAGCCGACGCTGAAAAAAAAAGCTGAAGCAGCTCCACAAGCAGGTATTTTTAATAAAATTATCAAGTTCCCCCTTCCGTGGTCTCTCTAAAGTACAGAATAATCTGGAGGCACCTACAAGAAGTGTTTCCTACATCAACTTCTGTGAGACGGTGTATAACATGATACGCAGTAGAAGGCACTTAGGTTCCTTTTAAACCTGATAATTGCTAGAAACTTCATAATTGGTATGTTCTCCCTCGGAGGTCCTTCCTCTGATAGGTAGTGACCACCAGGGGAAAAGCTGAGTCCAGGTGAAGAATGGGGTGAGAAATAGCAGGTTCATTTGTCTGGATTTACTTCAGACTTTGCTTAAATGATTCTAAATTTGTTTAAAGCCCCAGAACATAAAAATGAAACCAGACTTCAATGAGATAACAGTTTTATTTACATCCTTTTCCATTTAATATATCACATCTTCAGGATGGGTGGTAGTAGTAACCTGTTTAAAGGCTTTGCTCATTCTCCTCAGGCTATGGTTAGAAGATCCCAGAGTAGCAGAAGCTGTTGGTCTGAAAGCTTTCAAGTGGGGGAAGAACCGTGGAGATCGTGGAGATTCTTTGACTTGACGTACCCCTCAAACACCATTCATACACAAATAAGTGCTTGTCTTCTAGCTAGACACAGGCTCAATTAGTTTTTCAAATACTCGCCCTGGCAATATGTTACGTGGGAAATCTGAGAAGAATTTCTCAACTCAGTCATTAACTTCTGTCGTCAATATGTACACCTTGACTGCCAAAAACAGCAACTTAAATTTCTTACAGAATGCATCATAGGAAAAAGCTAAAAGGACAAAAGAAAAAAAATGCATTCAGAATATGTTTTCTTACCGTAATAGTTTCTAAACTGGTATCAGCCTGTAAGTAGTTATGAGCAATAGTAGCATTTATGTTTCCCCCTCTTGCCTGATATTTTGTATACAGTGAGTCGTACATTCTGTATACTAACAATCGGATTATACATTCTGTACGATAGAAGTTGCTAATTTTCATTCTTCTGCCACCAAGAAAAGTGTAATTTATCATTGGGAAAGGGATTTAAATACTCGTAGAGGTACTTTTTTTTAATCTAAGGCCTGATTTTCTCCTGATAACCATTAACTGCTTGTTTTCTAAAAGTTTTTTTTTTTCTTTAATAAGATGCCTTATGATCACCACCGTGTCACCAGGAAATAAAGTGCCTTAATCCATATAATAATATTTATGTGACATTGTCCCAAACTTTTGATATCTTTCATATTTTTTACATGATAAGACCTCATTATGGTCTTGCCTGTTACCCAAAGGAGAACTAATCCTCTCTTTTTCCTTAAAAGGCATTTTCCAGGCTGGGTATTAAAACTTGTTAGTTTTGTTACACTCGGTTTTGTTTTAGTCAGTGTAGTCTAATTCAGAAGGATCCTAGCAGTCTGGTTGGTGTGAAGTTCCATTCTTCTAGTCCAGACGAGTTGTCAAGGTTCCTGTAAGCTGGCTAATCATGGTGGAAAGCTTAATTTTAACTTTTTGTTCTGTACTTATACTAGTTATCTGCAGTCTATCAAAACGAAGTACAGAGTACTTCCAAGTACAAAGATAAAAGCATTTAAATGGACCACAAAAGATCCTGACTTGTAAACTGGGGAGGCTTCTTGCAATTGACTTTAAAGGCCAGAGAAAGAAAGTGATAGTTTGACTTCACTGCCAAGTAGATTATAGGTTGTATCGTGGTTTCATTCTCCCAGAATTGCTCTTGAAGCCTGGTGTCATCATCAGCATGTAACTAATGATACAAACAAGGACACACATGTCACTAGAGATGGGCAAGTCTAGAGGTGCCTTTAACTGGTTTAAGAAAAAAAAAAAAGACTAGGTACGAAACAAGACTAAACCAACTTGTTGCTCAGCTTTGAAGGAGAAACCAGGGATGGTTTCCATTACGGCATCTTGGAAACAGACAAATCTAAACAGGTTTTCTGGAAGGCCACCAGACAGTGTTCCTGGTTCTTCAGGGAGCTGAGTGCTTCCTGGTGTGTCTGCACCTTTCCCCACTTGTCACTGAAGTGACTGCCTTACGCAGCTATCCTGGTGTCCAGGTGCTACGACGTTAGGGGAACAACCAGGCCAGTGTCCACTCAAGCTCGCTCATCATTCAACTATTCACCGGAAACATCAGTCATCTGCACTAGTTCTCTGAAGTATTTAACATCACACCAGCACACTAGAGCCTTTAGGTTTTGGCGGGTGCTCCCTACAAGCATACGTGTCACCGTCAGGCAGTAACATTTCCCTACATATATGTATGCACAAATACATTAAAAACATTTAATACAAATTTGTACATTACATGAAATAGAACCTTAAAGATCACCCTAAAATAGAAGTACAGAGGAAACGCATGCAGAGAGAGCCTGCACAAGTACAAAGCCTGTGGGACAAATAATTTCCAGTCTGTGTTTCCTGCAGGATAGTAACACGTCTTGTCCTACCCAGAGGCAAAGTTTATTTTCCAAAATTTGGACACTGCCCACTGCATTAAATGTAAATGCTCCTTGTGTATATAGACAGTAAAAGTAAGCAAGAAACCTTAACACATTCTTTTTTAATATATCAAAAATGTTTCCAAGGCAACATTAAGATGATTATAGCGCGGTCCCTAATGCAACACGGGCGCTACGCGGAGGGCAGCGAGGAAGGTCTCACCGGTCGGTGGCTTAGGTGCTCTTCTTTTCGTCACCAAGCAAGGTCACTGCTGCTTTCTTGGCTGTGAGAGGGAAAGAGAATCGTGTCAAGGCGACTCGGGGCCCGGTGTGGCGCCTCAGCAGGAGGGAGGCCACGGGAGGCCGAGGTGGGGGTGTCCAGGGAGCGGGCCCAGGCGGCCCACAGCACCCCCACAGCCGCCCAGGAGCCTCCCGCCGCCCTGCTTCCCGCAGCCCTGAATCCGTGGCCGCCCGGCCCGCTGCCTGGAGCGGCCCAAGGCGAGCTCCCTGGAGGCCCCGCCACACGCACTCGCCTCCCGGGCCACGCCCCCGTGTCTACGCAGCAGAAGCCAAAGCACAGAGGCCACGTCCACGGCCGGTGGACGGACCGAGCAGCTGCTGCATGCGGGGATGTGCATGCGGGCAGCGGCCACGCCACCGGGTCACAGACAAAGCATGTGCTCTCACGCGTGCAACGTAAGGAAGAACAGCTGAGCAAACGGGAAGGGGGAGAAGGCGGCGCCTGTATGAGCCTCGCACCAAGGGGAGGCAGAGGAGGTGGGCCAGGCGCCGGCGATGAGCGCGGGGCCGGGTATCTAAGTGATGAAGCACCGAATTCTACCCTCGGAACCCACACCGCTCCGTAAGCAGACTGCCTACCCCGGACCGCGCCTGCTTGGACTCGAGATCTAGCTCCTCAGGGCTAATCAAGGACGGGGTTCTAGAACTCCCCTCACTCCCATCAGTTCTTTGCTCTCTACCAGGCCATTCCCACTAACTTCCAAACATATGTTGTTCCTTCTACCTTAAGAAGAAAAATAACAGCCCCAGGACCCTAGCGCCTCTTCCCAGTTGCAACCCCATTCTTCACCTTTTCCAAGGAATTTCCCAAAGGCTTCTCTTTCCCCCACTTTGCCTCCCCTCTCCCACACCCCCTGGGACCAGGATTTCAGCGCCTTCGCTCCGCAACCTGTTTTGCCAAGACCACTAGGGCCTTCCTGGCCACCAAGGGTCATGGCCGGTTTTCAGCTGCCCCTTACAGACGACCTGTCTGCAGCGGGTGACACAGCCCCTGCCTCCTCTGGAACACTCCCTTGGCCCCGAGGAACCAGTCACACGCGCTCCGGCTGTCACAACTGGCCGCTCCTTATCAGTTTGCTTTGTCTGTTGCTACTCATCTCCCCAGTGTCTCATCACCGGGGACCCTGGCTCAGTGTTGGGCCTCAGCTTTCCTAACTACATCCATTCCCTTTGTGATCTCATCTGGTCTCATGTCCAGAACTGAACTCCGTTTTCCCTTCTAACCCTAGGACACCTAGTCTTGCCCAGCTCCGTGGCAATTCTATCCTCCCATCTGTTCTGGCTGAAAAGCTTGGCTTCATGCATGACCCAGCTCTCCTACTCCACACCTGATCCATAAGCAAATCCTACTGGCTCTACCTTCAGTGTGTCAGACCCCAATGCCTTCTAGTCTCCTACTGCGACTATTCTGACCCAAGCCACCTCTCCAGCCGGGTCACTGCAGGCAACTTCCAACTGCTCTCCTGAGTCCCTCCCTGTCCCTTCAGTCTACTCTTAACACAGGACAGATCATGCGGCTCCCCTGCTCAAAGTCTCCACCAGCACCCATCTCAGAGTTAAACCCAAAGCCTCCACAAAAGCCTAGGAGGCCTTCCGTGACCTCTCTTCTTCAGCCTCTGCTACCCAACCTCTCTGACCTATCTCCTCCTCCTCTTCGGGATCACCCCCTTCCAACCACACCGTTCCCACCTCCACTCTGCACACGTAGCTTTCTCTGTCTGGAACATTCTTCCCTGTGGTTTCAAGTCTGATTCAGTATCGCCTTCTTGGTGAGGATTCCCTAAATCATTCTATTTAAAATTGTAACTTCCCTTCAGCTCCAAAACTTCTCTATCACCTGTTAACTATATAACTTCTAAAACTTCTAAAACTTTACTCTCTCTCAACATGAGTGTCGTCAGCTTCATGAGTTCGAGTACTATGGTCTGTGTGGCTCAATGGCCCAGTCCCAGGGCTAGGAACAGGCTTGGCACGTGTTACGCGCATCAATAAATGTTGCATAAACGAATGAGGAGAACTGGAAGGACATTCTCTTGACCTATAACAAAAACAAACAGTTCAACCTGAAATGAGTGAGACAGTTCATACTTGTATATGATTAGACAGTTCTCTAAGATGTCTGCCCACCACAGGAAAGTCAGTTTTCCTAACACACTGACTGAACCGTGCCTTAAATGGGGCCTGGAGGGAGAATCTCGGGAAAAGTAAAGGGCAACAGGCAAAGTGTTGGTAAAGAAATCGCAGAGTAGCCTTGGCATTTAGCTGAGGGCAGCTGGCAGGGGAGGGAGAAGCAGCTTGTTACCTGGGCCCCAGGCCTCCCAGGCCCTCCTACCTGCTTGCCCTCAACCGCCCCAGAGTCTTACCTTCTTTCGTGATGGTATCCACAGTCTCTTTGGCTTTGTCCTTGAAGTCATTCACCATGGTGTCCACCTGGGACTCATGCTTCAGGAAGACAGGCTGGATGACGCGCCTGTAGAGCAGCTCGGCCCCGTTAGAGGGGCTCGGGGCCATGCACCACAGCAGGAAGCCGCACTGCAGAGACAGCAGCACGGCAGCCTTGGTAAGGGGCCATGGCCCACCGCTCCCCCGTCTCTGCCCAGGCACTGCCTCGGCTGCGTTCTCCAAAAGGATTTCCAGTGCCTTCTCTAGGCTACAAGGGCGCTCTTGTCAGATGGGAAAAACACCCAACACGGCCTAGTGAGGAAAGGCCAAGACGGAAAACACACCGAGTCCTAATGTTCATTTCCTTCCTAACTTGGATCACTTTTTAGTTTATAGCTCCAAAAGGTTTTAGCCATCTCTGTCTCTCTCTCTCTCTTTTAAACATTTTATTTATTCATGAGACACAGAGAGAGGCAGAGACCCAGGCAGAGGGAGAAGCATACAGGGAGCCTGACGTGGGACTTGATCCCGGGACCCCGGGGTCACACTCTGAGCCGAAACCTAGAGTCGGACACTTAACTGACTGAGCCACCCAGGCGCCCCAGGACTCCTGGTTTTTAATATCCAAACATTGTACGATGTTTTCCATTGGTTGCTTACATACATACTCAAAACTCTATACAACAACTTAAATAAAATGATACGCAGGAAAAGGAAAAACCATGTTCTTGGCATTAAAGTAGAATTGTGGATATTTAAAGAATATGCCGAGTATTCAGGGAGGTGTGCTGTGTACTACTGCCTGTGAAGCCAGCAACTTCTTACCAACTATGCTGTTTGGAGAGCTTGGTGTGTTGCATATTTGTTATTTATATGGGGTATTTTTATGTGTTTGACTAATAATTTGGGAAAACTGGTATGGAGTCTTAGATTTACACATCTTAATTTTCGCCATTTAAAAGTGTAGGAAATAGTCTCTTGGCTGGTTCCTATGCAGGATGTTTAATCTTCAGGAATGGATAGTGATGCAGAGATGGATGCCCGTATGTAAGCACAGGCATCGACGTGACGTGGAAATGACGCACTGGGTTAGCCGTCAGCTGATTACCTATTTCATCTTGTGACTTGAGGTAAAGTCATAACCTCTCAGGAGTCAGTTTGCTCTTCTGTATTATTGTAGGAAAATCACAAATTAAGGTAGTTGAAGAAAGTATGTAAGAGGGATCCCTGGGGGGCTCAGTGGTTGAGCGTCTGCCTTCGGCCCAGGTCGTGACCTCGAGGTCCCGAGATCGAGTCCCCCGTGCGGCTCCCAGCATGGCTCCTGCTTCTCCCTCCGCCTGTGTCTCTGCCTCTCTCTGTGTGTCTCTCACGAATAAATACACAGATTCTTTTAAAAAAGTATATAAGATGGCAGTAGTATTACCAAGTCCTACAGTTCTTACGCTTGTTGAGAACCTCTGAAGCACGGTCTCCCGTGCAGACGGCCACCGTCGGCAACCCAGAGGAGCTCACTCACTCGTCCCTTCTGGATGAAGGCGAGACCACTGGACAGAAGCAGAGCTGAGCGCCTACAGTCTCGTCCCTCGTCGACGTCACCGGCTATCCTCTGCTCTGCTGCTGGCTTCCCGGTACCCTCTTGGGACCGTGGCATAATTACTGCTCTCATTAGCGTTTTCCAGTTTTCAAATGAAATAGCTTACGCGTATGAAAGAATAAAGATAATTACTGTTCAACTCTCACGGTGATTCAGCCACCAGCTTTTATAGCTCACTCCCTTCTCTCAACCTGCGTAAGTATTCTAGGGCTCAGGAGTACCCGAGGTACACAGATCTGACCATCGTTTTATTATGTTTTTAAAGACTGCATTTATTTATTTTTTTGAGAGAAAGAGAGAGAGGAGCAGAGGGAGAGGGACAAGCAGACTCAGCTGAGCAAGGAGACTGATGTGGGGCTCAATCCCAGGACCCTGAGATCATGACCCGAGCCGAAATCAAGAGTCAGCTGTTTGGGCCGCCTGGGGGCTCAGGGGGTGAGCATCTGCCCTCAGCCCAGGGCGTGACCCTGGGTGCCAGGATCGAGTCCCACGTCGGGGTCCCCGCAGGGAGCCTGCTCCCCGCTCTGCCTGGGTCTCTGCCTCTCTCTGTGAGTCTCATGAATAAATACATAAAATCGTTTTTTAAAAAAGAGTCAGATGCTTAACTGAGCCACCGAGGCGCCCCCAGTGGCCTGTTAGTTGAGCTGCCCTCAAAGCGGCAAGGCCGACGCTCGCACAGCACACCGAGCCCACTGTGGCCTGCAGTTTGGGGGACAGCCCTGCAGTTGGGGATCGGCCACCCGAGTTCGTGCCAACCCCACGGCAGCCACATTCCCACCGCGACCCGCTGTCAGGCCCCGGTCGCCTGATCAGAAACAGGCTCAGGACACCTGGCAGGGGGCCGCCCAGAGTGCAGGCATCCAACCCAGAGAGGTCGGGGGGGATAGGTGACAGTCGGGTTTACTCAACCTTGTTTCAAAAGTCTAAGAATGAGTCTAGGAAATGACCCAAGGGGTAGAGAGGAGGCGTGACGCCATGGCCTGCAGGCCCCAGGCCCGCTCGGGCACTCGGGCCGGCCGTTGCCCCCACGGTGGGCAGGCGGGCAGACAAGGCTGGGCTGCAGGATGGAGCACTGCCCGTGCATGTGTGTGTGTGGACCAAGCACACCCGGGCTCCGCGCGGCCTTGTGGCCGGGACTGACACACACACAAAAACCAGGACGACAGAGATGCTAAGGGCAGAGGGGCTGTAGGCACTGCTCCCTGAGCGCACAGCGTGGACCTGAGCCCGGCCCGACGGGTGCAAACGGCCCGGCAGCCACAGGCTTCCCTTCGCCCAAGTACGCCCTGACCTATGGCAGATTCTGGCCCTAGACCTAGAGGGGCTAAATAAATATCCTTGTTGCTTCCTTTTTAAATATTTTATTTATTTATTCACAAGACACACAGAGAGAGTGAAAGACCCAGGCAGGGGGAGAAGCAGGCTCCCTGCGGGGGGCCCGACGCGGGACTCGATCCCAGGACCCGGGGTCACACTCTGGGCCGAAGGAAGATGCTCAACCGCTGAGCCCCCCAGGCGTCCCTAAATACCTTCTGAATGAAGAACTGAACATTTCATGATCAGAGGAGAAAAAAAGGGCTTTTACATTTCTTTTTAAAGTCTTCTGCTTAAGGGACACCTGGGCGGCTCAGTTACTTAAACATCTGCCTTCAGCCCAGGTCATGACTCAGGTCCTGGGAGGGGGCCCCACATCATGCTCCCTGCTCAGGGGGACTGCTTCTCCCTCTCCCTGCTGCTCCCTCTCTCAAATAAATAAATTTTAAAAACAAAAAATAACCCCCTTCTGTTTAATTTTTTTTTTTTTTTTTTTTTTTTTTTTTTTTTATGATAGGCACACAGTGAGAGAGAGAGAGAGGCAGAGACACAGGCAGAGGGAGAAGCAGGCTCCATGCACCGGGAGCCCGACGTGGGATTCGATCCCGGGTCTCCAGGATCGCGCCCTGGGCCAAAGGCAGGCGCTAAACCGCTGCACCACCCAGGGGTCCCCCCCCTCCTGTTTAAAGACCGACCCCAGAGTAACGCTCTAGCCGAAGAGACTGTACGTTGTCAACTGATCTTTGATGCCTAATGATTGATTCCTCTTATTTTCCTCCAATCCTCGGCTGCTTTAAAGATTTTATTTTATTTTTTGACAGGGCGTGAGTGGAGGGGGAGGCACAGAGAGAAAAGCAGACGCTGCTGAGTGCGAAGCCCAAAGTGGCGACTCTAAGATTGTCACCTGAGCCAAAGGCAAAGGCGCTTAACCGAGGGAGCCACCCTGCCACTCCCGGTCTTAAGCTGCTTTATAGGAAATACCAACAATGTTAATTATACAAAAGATAAATATTAAACTCGTCGTTACTCAGGCCTCTTTTCCTACTTCATACATCACCAGGTGATTGTAGCAACTGTGGATGCCCTATGCTAGCTCTTTTCGGGGGGCCCCTTCGGCTCAGGTCATGATCTCGGGGTCCTGGGATGGAGCCCCGTAACCGGCTCCCTGCTTGGGGGGGGGGGGCTGTTTCTTCCTCTGCCCCACTGCTCTGGCTTGTGTGTTCTCCCAAAGAAATAAATAAAATCTTTAAATAATAAAAAACGGGGGGGGGGGGCACTTTCCTACCCACTCTGCAGTTCTAAGGCTTTTTCTCAGTCTGTTCTCTGCAGCCACTCAGAATGTGCACTACTTAACGAAGAAAGCATTTTGATTGACAGCACAATCAATTTTTAATCATCTCAAGTACATTACCAATTTGGAACGTGCAGGAAACTCTCTCCTCCTCATTGATGCCACAAGACTACTAATGGATGCACATTTGTTTTACTATTAGGCAAGAAAATTTTGCTGCAAAGCCACTTTTGTAACGTCCTTCAAAACCAAATATAAATGAGTTAGCACTTATCTCTTATTTGGGATCGTCTCTGTACCTGTGGCCTCCACTAGCAGAGGTGATCAGGAGCAAGCTGGGGTCACGTGCTGGAACTCTGAGGTCAGCTCCCGGGGTGTGACAGGGCCCTGGGCACTGCAGCAAGCAGGGGCAAGGCCCAGCTCCCTTCCCTAGAGACTACATTATGACGTCACTACCATTAAGTGAATCTTCTTGAGGACTTGAATATTGTTTGTAGTTTAAAATATGTGACACCGAAATAAGATTATAAAAATATTTCTGTAAACGCTAAATGTCTCCGTATAACAAAAACACACAGAAAACCCAGCAATCTGAAAGCTTAAATCTTACCACAGACCTTAAAAAAGTTTGTCTTGAAAATTCTTCAGCCATCTTACAAGGCATTCTGTGGTTGTATCACTCAAAATTAAGAATTATAGGGTGCCTGGGTAACTGAGTGGTCTGCCTTTGGCTCAGGTCATGATCCCAGGGTCCTGGGATCAAGTCCTGTATCAGGCTCCCTGGTGGGCAGGGAGTCTGCTTCTCCTTCTCCCTTTGCCCCTCCCCCTGCCTGTGCTCTCCCTCTCTCACTCAGTCTCTCTCTCAAATAAATAAAGTTTTAAAAATTTAAAGAAATTATAATGGGCGTATTTTCATTTAAATTTTTAACTATTTAAAAAAATAAAAATTTTAACTATTTAGCTTTTTGGTTGTTTTTTTTTTTGGTTTTTTTTTTTTTTTTTTTTTTACCATAAATGGTACCCTAATATGTAATGTTCCACAATTTTTTATAATTGCTGAATAATGCAAAATTTCTATAGATATAGATCATTTCATTCCATTTAACTGCATATGGATATACTGGGTTTTTATTCCTATGTTGTTTTCTCTTGTCTTTTTTTAAGATTTTATTTATTTGAGAGAGAGAGGGAGAGAGACAGCACAAGGGTGGGGAGAGGCAGAGGGAGAGGGAGACACAGGCTCCCCCGTCTGCAGGGAGCCCTACGTGGGGCTCCAACCCAGGACCCTGAGATCAGGACCTGAACTGAAGGCAGACACCGGACCCCCTGAGCCACCCGGGTGCCCCCCTTCAGTCTTTTTTGTCTAATGGCTGTTTAGTCGGCAACGTTATCTGAGGCTCGGGTATACCACAGTCATCCCACAGTTACACGTACTACTCAAGGCCAACCACGTACAAGCACGTCTGTCACCACTAAGAGTTACCACGGTAGTAACCAACTATATTCCCTAGGCTGTATTTTTCATCCCTGTGACTTATTTACTTTATAACTGGAATTTTGTGCCTCTTAATCCCCTTCACCCTCCTCCCCTCTAGCAACACCAGTTTGTTCTCTATTTCTGGTTTTTATTTATTTTGTTTTTTAAATGCTTCGTATAATTCACATATGGTATTTGTCTTTCTCTGACTTACTTCTCTTGGCCTAATACCCTCCAGGTCCCTCCATGTTGTTGTGAATGGCCAGATCTCATTCTTTTTTATGGCTGAGTAATATTCCAGTGTGTACACGTGTATGTGTGTGCGTCTTTATCAATCCATTTATTGACGACATTCATGTTGCTTCTGTACTTCAGCTACCATAAACAATGCTGCAAAAACCATAGAGGTGCATGTATTTTTTTGAATAAGCAGTTGCGTAAATGCCCAGTAGTAGAATTATGGGATCATATGGTATAGAATTTTAATTTTGAGGACCTTCTATACTGTTTTCCATAGTGGCTGCACCAATTTATATTCTTACCAAAAATACATGAAGGTTGCCTTATCCCTACATCCTCACCAACACTTGCTATTTCTTGTCTTTTAGGCAATCTGGTGTGAGGTGATACCACAGTGTGGTTTTTGAGACATGCACTTACCTGACGATTAATAACGTTGAAAAGACATGTTTTCATGTGTCTCTTGGCAATCTGTCTGTCTTCTTTGGAAAAATGCCTACTCAGGCTTCCTGCCATTTACTAATTAGATTTTTTGGGGTTTGGTTGGTTTGTTGCTTAGAGGTGTTGAGTTGTATGAGTTCTTCATATATTTTGAATATTAACCCCTCCATAGATACATCATTTGCATATATTTCCTCTCATTCAGCAGGTTGCCTGTTTTGTTTTGTTGACAGTTTCCCTCAAAAGCTTTTTATTTTGATGTAGTCCCAAGAGTTTACTTTTTGCTTCCGTTTCTCTTGCCTAAGAAGACAGATCTAGAAATATATGGCTAAATTCAGTGTCAAAGAAATTACTACCTATATATTTTCTTTTAGGAGTTTTATGGTTTCAGGCCTCACATTTAAGTATTTAACCCATTTTGAGTTTACTTTTGTATATGGTGTAAGAAAGTGGTCCGGTGTTCCTAGCACCATTTATCGAAGAGATTATCCTTTCCCCAAGGTATATTCTTGCCCCCTTTGTCATAGGTTAATTAATCATAAAGCATATTCCTGGGGACTCTATTCTGTTCTTTTGATCTGTGTGTCTATTTTTGTGGCAGGGCCATACTATTTTGATTGGCAGCATATCACGAAATCTGGGATTGCAAGACCTCCAGCTCTGTTGTTCTTTTTCAAAACTTCCTTGGTCATTCGGGGTCTTCTGTGGTTCCATACAAACTTGAGGAGTATTTATTCCAGTTCTATGTAAAATGCCCTTGGTATTTTGATAAGGAATGCATTGAGTCTATAGATTACTTTGCAATATATGTGTACGTGTGTATTTTCGATCTTCCCCTCTAGTTTCCCAGTTTGTTCCTTCTGTTATTTATGCAATACAGTGTGTTCTTTATTTCAACTCTTTCCCTATCTCCTATTTTTCCTTGGCTCTCTCCTATGTTTTCCTGTTCCTATTTCATATTGCTATGCCTCTCCTGCTAGCAACCTCACTTAGATCTTGGCTACTCGGTTCTAGTATTTCTACTGCTGACAGGATTCTCTAATTGATAGTGCTGTCTTGCTTCTGAAACGGCTGTACTTCTCAAATTTATCTTGTTATGGTGGCCTGTAAGCTCGCTTTCCTCCAGGAGTATCAGCTAGTCTGTTAGGCATGGGATGGAGGAAAGCCATATGCCAGTCCATGCTGGTCCCAGTAGGCTGTGGGAAGGAAGCCCCAGACACTAAAGGAACCAGCGTTCCTCACCCTTCTCCCACTAAATCGTCCCTTGGGCCAAGGGAGCACCCTCCGCTCCCCCAGCAGCATTAGAAGGAGATGCTGGTAAGTTGTAATGCTCAGCTCAGGGGGCAGAGCCGGAGGGGATGGGGAGGAACAGCCCTGGCTACTCAGTTCCACTCATTTTCCTTGGCGCCTCAGCAAGGACAGGACTTCTATGCCAAAACCACTGTTCCAGAAAAAAAAAGTACAGGAAAATGTTCTTAACGTGGAGGTACAGAAGCGAGGCAAACTGTAGAAGTCACAAAGAGGGGCGCCTGGGTGGCTCAGTCGGTTCCACGTCTGCCTTTGGCTCAGATCGTGATCCCAGGGTCCTGGGATGCAGCCCTGCATCATCATCATCATCATCATCATCATCATCATCATCATCATCACCATCGGGCTCCCCGCTCAGCAGGGAGTCTGCTTCTCTCTCTCTCCACCCCTCTGCACCACTCATTCTCTCTCAAATAAACAAAATCCTTTAAAAGTCACACAGAGAAAACACTTAGTAAGAGTATTTAAGGTTTCCAATAGACTGTGCACCGTAGCTACTGAAAGATGCTAACTTTCTCATTCAGAATCGATACAGGTGCCATTAGGAATGAGTTTCAACTTCCTAATCCTTTTCCTGCTGCGGTGGTCACCAGGGTCAGTTCTCTCCCAGACACAAGGTGTGGTGGGGCGGATCCCTGGCTACCACACCTGCGACGTTATCAAAGTGACTTCCCCAGAGAGTGCATTTCACATCTTTCTCTGAACCTATATAAGAAGTAAGTACTTTTTTCTTCTAGAAACAATGACTCCTGCACAGCAGTGTACAGGATAACCAGTGAATAACCAATGACCGGCCAAAATTTGCAGTGCTTCCCCTCAAACACGGACAATTCCGCTTACAGACAGGATCCTAGTAAGCAGGGATGCTTGTGCTAGGTCACAGTGTTTCCATCTTTGATCATCAAACACATCTTGAATACACAATTGCTTTGGCTGTTTCCAGGATGGTATACAAAGTAAGTTAGATGTCTCAAACTCAGTCTTCCTGTTTCTAAGGGGAGGCAGAGCCACAAATGTTCAGCATTTAAGCATCTGTCCCTATTCCTCTATATAGACTCTGAGTGGAGTTTATTTTAGTGGTTGGACACAAAGCAAATACATAGATGGAAAGAAAAAGAGCAGTTCAAGAGAAGCCAACATACCTTCAGCATGTAGTAGAAGGGGACCCATGAGAGGAAGAGGTCGGAGAAAAATTCAGCAATGCTGAACACCCCATACACGACCCAGTAGGTCAGCCACTGGGTATCATCTTCTTTGTTGGGACTCTCTATGGCTTTAATTCTGAAAGGCAATAAAAAAGCACATATAACAACATGTAACGTCAATGAGACACTTTCACACAGTAGACTGTGACAGCCTACCCTCCAACACACGTAGGAAACTCAGGCAAATGTCTGCACACGCCCCTGAGATAAGAATACAACAGAAGGAAGCGATGTGGAAATAAGACAAGCCATGGTAACCACTGGTTACGTGTCTTCTGGTCACCAAAGAAACCAGCACTAGCTTCCCCCCCAGATTTCCACCCTGCCTGTGCCTCCCTCCGGGCACCAGAGATCCCACCAATGACCGAGAACCCCCAAGCAGCATCCTGCCCCAGGGACACATCAGGGATTCTCTCGTGGTAGGGCGCCGGGCTGGCTCAGTAGGTGGACTACGCGACTCTGGATCGTGGGGTTGTTGGTGTAGCCCCATGTTGGGGGTAGAGATTACTTAAAATCTTCAAAAACAAACAAACATAATTCTCTTGTGGTAACTTAGCCCCTACATGCTTTTAATAACTGAGGTGTATTATGGGTAAGTAGAAATTTCCGTAAAGGAACTTCTGGAACACAGTCCAGATACTGCTGAAGTCTACGACGTGCTGCATAATGCACAGGCGAAAACCAACGTCATGGCATCCGTTTGCTTCTGACTACTTCATGGGGCCTAGAATGGGGGCTCTCCTCCCCTCATCTTAACATCAAGGACTCTCTCAGCAGCAACTACTGCTCAAACAAATTCCATTCTGCAAATGAATGGAAATAAATTTAAAATAATCTTTTACTTCTGAATCACAGAAATTTCTCCCAGGCCTACAAATTTCTTCATTCTTCAGAATTCAGGTAAACCTGAATTCCATATTTTTTTACCCTGTCCTGACATATGTCTGGACACTTATCACAACTGAGTTGAACTAAACTAAAATAGTAAACCGGAAGAAGTATGCATCTGGTTACCTATGAGATGGGCTAACTCCTGAGAACACCTGGTAGCACGGGCTCCCCAAGGAGGCCAAGGGCAGCCGCAGGGATGAGCACAGGGCGGGAGGGCGGGAGGGAGGCCACAAGCCGTGAAGCCCACGCTCGCAGAGGCAAGGGCCGGCAAGAGGTCTGTTCACACAGGAGGATGGGCGAGTGGATGCAGAGCCCGGGGAGGCGTCGCTGCGCCGCGTGGGCTCGGGCTTCCGCTCTCCTCTGGGCCGTGGAGTAACGGAGGCCCAAGGACGCGCAGAGGCAAGCGCGCCAGACACCTAAGAGCGGCCCCACCTTCCTCGCATCTCTACTGCAGTGCATCTTTTAGGTTAGGAGCGTGATAAAGATTTCTCACACGTCACACCTGGGCAGAAGGGGTGCAGTTCTAGCTCCCGCGTGGTCCTGCTTTTAGGAACCAAAGCAATTCGTGACTAGGTCCAGAAGCCAACCCACATGCAAACAGAAACTGAAACAAGCATTCCACGGAAACATCCTGATATTTTTCAATTCCATCTGTGTCATCACTTTTAAGAGGTTAGTCAAGATCCACAGATTCAAAACCAGAAAAGCCACTCCAACAGTTCAAGGTCAGTGCTTCAAGGAATAAAAAAAAAAAAAAAAAATGGTGAGTTCTCTAACCCACGAGCACTGCACATTCAAAGCTTCCATGTTAACATACTCAGAACGCCGTGCAGAACGCTGGAGAGACCAAAACTGACCTCGCAGGCTGACCCCGGCTTTGGAGAAAACCAAGGCACATGAAAGAAGACAGGACAAGACCACAGAGTCTTATTACTATTATTATTAAACATTTTATTTACTTATTCATGAGAGGCGCGGAGAGAGGCAGAGACTCAGGCCGAGGGAGAAGCAGGCTCCCTGCCAGGGACCCCAATGCAGGACTTGATCCTGGGACCCCGGGGTCATGACCTCAGCCAAAGGCAGATGCTCAACCACTGAGCCACCAGATGCCACCCCCCAGAGTCTTATTATGCTGAAGAGATTTTTTAATAGAATCATTTGATTGAACATTTAATTATTGTTTTAATCTAAAATAGCACAAAGTTCACATGAAAATGTCTACGTGTCATAACATCATAAATTAGGCACAAGAAAGAACGTAAGAGGTAGTCTGCAGGTGCCAAGCCTGAGGCTCAAAGAGACGAAGCGCCCCAGTCTAGTTTGGGGAGGGAAGAGAAGGGCTTAAAACTGCTGCTTCCTGGGGTGCCTGGGTGGCTCAGCAGGTTAAGCGTCTGCCTTCTGGTCAGCTCACGATCCTGGGGTCCTGGGATCAAGCCCCAAGTCAGGCTTCCCGCTCAGCAGAACAGTCTGCTTCTCCTTGGACCCCTCCCCCTGCTCGTGCTCAGTCTCTCAAATAAATAAAATATTAAAAAAAACAACTGTCATTTCCTGAATGCTATTTACTTTTATACTTCGTTTTCCAAGTGAGTGGACACAGGTGATACTCGGCAATACACTCTCCTGCCTCGTACATATACGGGGTCACATCCCAACCCAGGCCACCCACGAGGAGGTGGCAACTTCTCAGGCCACATGGGGACTCATCTTAAATCTGAAGAAGCACTCTGTGCCTTTAGGTCATTTCCATTCTGCTCAAAATGGCACAAAGACTGGAAGACGTAGGAACCAGTAATTTTCCCCCAACGTCATTTGCTGACAAGACTATCTCTTCCCCACTTCAAATTCTTGCCTCCTTTGTTGTAGAGTAACTGGCCACATAAGCATGAGTTTATCTCTGGGCTTTCTACTCAGTTCCGTTGGCCCGTGTCTGTATTTGCGCAGATACCACTGCTTTACTGCAGCCTCGTAGCAGATCCTGGCATCTGGGACTGTGATACCTGCAGCTCTGTTCTTCCTCAGCATTGCTGTGGGATTCCATACCAATGTTAGGATTATTTCCTCAAGGTCTCTGAAAAGTGCTATTGGCTTTTTGATAGGGATTATACTGAATCTGTAGATTGCTTTGAGTTAGTCTGGACATTTTAACAATATTCTTCTAATCCACGAGCGTGGGATCTTTCCATTTGTGTCCTCTTCATCAGTGCCTCAGAGTTTTCAGAGTACAGGTCTTTCACATCCTTGGTTAAATTTTACCTAATAATTATTTAACTTCATATTGGCCCTAGGAAATAGGTACTGTTACTTTCATTTTTGAGGAAAAGACTGAGGCGTAAGGAAGAAAAAGAACAGGTGCAGGGCTCCTAGCTACAAGAAGCAGAGATTGGGGGTACCTGTCAGGCTCAGTGGGTAGAGCAAGCAACTCTTGATCTCGGGGTCATGAGTTCAAGCCCCCGTGTTGGAGGGAGGAAGGAAGGGAGGAATGGAGGGAGGGAAGGAGGAAGGAGGGAGGGAGGGAGGAAGGAGTGAAGGAGGGAGGGAGGAGGGGAGGGAGGAGAAGTAGCAGAGATTGGATTTATACCCAAAGTTAACCCCAACAAAGCCTGTGCCTGTTTCACTATTCCAGGCTATTTTCCTAGTTTCCCTGTTTCCTAGAACAACTCACCACCAGGCTGTACAACACTTAGCAAAATGTTTGGTACCAAGTAGGCATTTAATAAATATGTACATGAATATGAATACAAAAAGAGTTCATTGTCTTCCTTTTGGAAGAGACCACAATGATCCAGTCTCATGCTAAAGAAACCCAAGGCTCAGCAGCGGTAAATTGGGTCACAGAAGACAAACAAGAGGCAATGTCAGTCTCAAGGTCCAGATCCTTAGAGAGCCATTCCACCCTCCACCCTGCTTACCTAGGTGGAGGGCAGGGAGAGCAACTGGAAGGACACAGGACAGCGCTCTGAGGTGACGCCCTAGTCCACTGTTGCTCCAGCTACAGAACTCATTAGACAGACACATGCCTGTGGCCTTTTCAGACCTGGTACTCCGGCTCTGGCAGGTAGAGCACAGGTATACGCTTTAAGGAAGTTGTACAGGTGATCCTAAGGCTGAGCCAAGTTTCAGTCCTGCCAATCAAGGCTGAGTCTCAGCTGTGGCAAAGGGTAGGCAGCTACCCCTTTCCAGCAATGAATGGGAGGCCAAGAGAAAAGAAAAGGTAGAGAGGGAAGGCAAACTGAATAAAGCCTCTGCTACAGTCAGGATGAGTCACTCTATGATGATCTAGAATGCCCACCTGAACATTCTCAAGTTTGTAAAAGAATTCAAAGTAGGGATCCCTGGGTGGCGCAGCCGTTCGGCGCCTGCCTTTGGCCCGGGGCGCGATCCTGGAGACCCGGGATCGAATCCCACGTCGGGCTCCTGGTGCATGGAGCCTGCTTCTCCCTCTGCCTGTGTCTCTGCCTGTGTCTCTGCCTGTCTCTCTCTCTCTCTCTCTCTGTGACTATCATAAATAAATTTAAAAAAAAAAAAAGAATTCAAAGTAAAAACATCTGCTAACCAAAACTCTTTGCTAAAATTTCAAAAACAACTAAAAGTCCTCTATTTGTTTGGCTAGAACACTCACCTCCCCCAGGGTTTTCAATCCCCAGCTAAACCCTAGAGGAGCTCTGGAACTGTCCCAAAAGCAGCTGGGAACAATTCCAACCACTCCCACAGGCCTCGGCCACTGTCTTAAATGGTCTCTGTTTTACGTTGCCCTCGGGTGGGATACGTTCGTTGCACCACCAACGCTGAACCTGGTTTCAGAACAACTTCTGGGGGAACACACTTGTAAAAGACAGACATCATGGTCTTTGCTCTGTGCAGACTCTTACTGCCATGTTCTCACCACCGGCCCTTTGCCTGGCCACTCTCGGGGCTTTGTTCTCTCTCAACTCAGCCACCTGCCATGTTCCTGGGGCAGGGCTTGGCCTACCGGGAGCAAGTGGCACAAAGGAAAGGAGGCCTGAGTGAGCGGTAAGGACATGGCCAGGCTGCTGAAGACGACAGTCAATACTAGGTATGGGAGTGGCCAGCAGTTCTAAAATTTCAGACAGCAGAAACTGTACAACGTTGAGTTGGAAGCTATCTTCAAGACCAACTATTCCTACTCTATTTTATAGGCTGAAATATGAAGCTCAAAGAGGAAAG